AATTATTACTAGAAGCTAGAGGTAAAGTATTAAATAAAGAGTTTATAAAAGTAATTACCTAATACTAAGCTTATTTTATTTAAAGAAAACTATTATAAAGGATTTATAAAGTATATATATTTAATATATTAATATAAGCTATTATATATATAAAAAATATAAATACTAAGAAGATTCTACTAGACTTAAGGAAAAGAGAGCTATTAAAGTTAGAATTAAAAGCTTATAAAGTTTAAAATAATTAACTTTATATTAGAGGAAGACTTTATTTACTTAATAATAATAAATATTTATATATTTAAATTATAAAATTAATTTATAACTTACTTATTAGAAGCTATAGAAAAAGGATATCTATATATAATAAAGTTAATAAAAAGTATTATTAGCTTAGAATAATAAATATAGTAATATAATATATAAAAAGTTATTATATTTATAATAGATTAAAAAGTTATTATAAAAATAAATAAAATCTTTTTAAATTATTATTAATCCTAAAATAATATTAAATTAATATTTTAATTAATTTTATTATATTATTATTAATATATAAAAAATATAAATACTTATTTTAATATATATTAATAGTAGTTAATTATTTATCTAAAAAGTATAAGTTTATCTCTTTTAACTTATTAGAAGTTAAAGCTATAATATAAATATTTATTAAATAAATTTAATATAAAAAAAATATTTACTAAGTATCTATTATAACCCTAGTATTTAAACTAGTAAATAGTATTAGCTAATTTAACTATAGGTATATAGGTTAGTTCTCTTAGAATATAAATAGTAGTTAAAAAATAAGTAAAAGTAAGATAGTAAGATAAAATTAAGTTATAACTATTTTAGATTTTATAGTATAAAATAAGACTTATATTAAATATAAGGAAATTTATTTAAAAAAAGGAATAAAAGGTTTTATATATATAACTTTATTTTACTTATTTAATAGTATTTAACCTTTAATTACCTTAAGCTTACTTAATCTAGAAGTTACTTAGTACTCTTAGTACTTAAGTATACTTAAGTATTTTAGCTATTTTTTCCTCTTTTTAATTATTCTTTTTTATAACTTAATATAGCTATAGTTTCTATCCTATAATAATTATCTAGTTACGCCTATTATATAAGATTATAATATAATATAAAATTCTTATTAAGATATAGAATATTATACTTTAGCTTAGAGTTAAAGTATTTCTATAAAGTTAATATCTTTTATATAACTAATAACTTCTTAGATATATAAAGCTAAGTTATATTTATTTTTAATATTAATAATAGAATACTTTTAAAAAATAAAGCTATTAATTACTATAGAAGTTAAAAACTTAAAATACTTAAATAATTATAAGATTTAATTATTTTTAAAAAAAAGTTACTATAGTATAGATTACTTAAATTTAAATAAAATAAATATATATTATATTAATATTAAATTTTTAAAATAAATATTAAAGTTTATTTAGATTATTTTTTTATTTTTTATTTTTAAAATATCTTTAATATATTTAATAAATAAATATATATTATAGTAATAAATATTTTTATTATCTCTTATTATAAAACTAATATTATAAAATTATAGGAGCTAAGAATTAAAAAAACCTATATTTTCTAGTCTTTAAAATAATATAGGAGCTACTATTTACTAAGGCTAATTAGCTACTACTTAGTTTATATAATACTATTCTATAACTATTATTTATTAAAATATAATAACTATTATTTAATATAGTTTAATTATATTATTTAAACTATTAAGGTTAAAGTTAGCTTAACTACTTCTATAGTTCCTTAATATATTATTAAATAAAATAAAAGTCTTTATTTAAGGGCTAATATATTAATAGAAAATTATTTTATTTATTAATAGCTTAAAGATTAGGTATATAGTAGTAGATAATAAGTATTTATTATTTAATAAGCTAAAATATTTAAAAGTACTTTTAATAAATGATAATAGATAATATATTAAGGTTATAGTAAATATAGTTTTAATAGATAGTAAATTATTTAAAAAATAATATAAGTTATAAATAAGGGTATTAAACTTCTTTATAGCTTTTTTTACTATTATTTTATTAATAGTCTATTTAATAGGCTAGATATATTCTTTAAAAAATATAGAATAAATATTATATTATTAACTAGAGATTAAATATTATAGATATAGAAGTTAGAAGTTATTACTATAAATATATTAAATAATAATATTATAAATAAAGCTATAAATAGTATTATAGAAAAAGTACTTAGTAATAAAGGTTTAAAATTAAAATATAAGGCTAATAGCTTACTTACTTATAGAAGCTACTTTAATAAGATTATAATTTATTTTTAATTAATATTAAATAAATAAATAAAGATATTAAAAGAAAGGAATATAATATTACCTTCTTATTATAAGAGTAATTACTAGAGTAGTTACTATATAAAGATTATTATAATACTTTTATATTATTTAGAGAAGACACTAGTAAAGAGTACTAGTATAGTAAAGTATAAGTATAAGTATAAGTAGTATATTAGTAATCTAGGATATATATAAATAATTAATCTATTAATTAATTAAGGACTTTATTTTATATAATATTATAAAGATTTTATAGAAAGTTTTATAGATATAGAAATAAGAGCTAGCTATAAAGTAAGCTTTTAGTAAGCTAGTAAAAGACTAATACTAGCTTAGATAAGACTAGTCTTAAAAAGGCTAATAAGATTAAAAGTATTATAGATAGTATAATTACTTAATTAAAAGCTATTATAAGTGTTACTACTATCTATAATAATCTAAATAATAAAGAATTTAAAAAGAACTTTTTTAGTAATAGTAATATAATTACTTATAGAATTTAAAGCTATAGAAGTACCTAAGTAGAATATAAGTTTTATTTATATTAAATACTATTCTACTTCTATTAAGTATTTTATTATATATAAGTTAATTATAATAATTATAATAATTTCTTTCTTTTTAATTATATATTAATAATTCTTAAGTATAATTTTTAATATACTTTAAAGATCTATAGATTTATAATTAATATACTATTAAAGTATTATTAAAGTATTATTAATATATAATATTTAATTTATATCTTTTTTATAAAATATTTATATTAAAAGTCTTTTTATATTAAAGTATTATACTTATATTAAATTACTTTAATAATATTTTATATAATAAGTAATATAGTAACTTATTAAGCTTTTAAATATATAATATATAAAGTTATTATAAAGTAGTATACTCTTTAGTATAGAATATACTTTTTGTATACTTTTTATAGAATATTTTTTACTTAATTAAAAAAGATAAAATATATAAGTTTTAAAGTATTAAGTCCTAGAATATTAGTTTAATAAAAAGTATTTATTTTCTTTACTTTATTAATATAAACTATTATAATTCTAAAGTACTTAATATTTAATATATATAAAATAAATATTAATAAATATAGAACTTACTTTATTTTCTTTACTTTATTTAATTTATAATATAAAGCCTTTAAAATAATTTTAATTAGATTTTCTAAAAGCTATTTCTAGGCTATTCTAAGGAACTAATTATATATATAAAGTAAATACTATATATATATTTTTAAATATTATTTCTATACTTTTAAATAACTATATTTATATCTCTTTCTAGAGAGTATTTTAGAAAGAGCTTATACTTAGAGCTAAGGCTATTAAGAAAGTATTTTAAAAACTATTTTAAAAGAATTTATATATATAATTAAAACTTTATTATTTATATATATATATATATAAAAGATTAATTATTATATATATTAAAATAAGAAAAAAGTTATAAAAAATATATAAAGATATTAAAATTTAGTTTATAAAGTTTTTTTCTTAAAAACTATATTTTAAAAAAGATATTTTAAAAATAGATATTAATATAATAATCTAGAGGTATAAAGATAGTATTTAAAGATATATATATAGTCTTTATTATATATAAATAAGCCTCTATATTAAAACTCTTATTTTATTATAGTTAACCTATTGTACGCGGTAAAACATAGCAATTTAACTTTCTATAAAGGTTTCATATCACTTGTACATAAAGGACTGCCTCTAAATTGTGCACCTTAGTCCGTAGACTTATGCGCTGCTGACATTCCATCTTAGTGTCTGCTACTGCTCGTATATAGCATCTTTCTACAATCATCATACTCTGACCGGTCACTGTAGATCTCTTCCAGTTCTTCAATTGCTGTCGCTACTCCCATGGTCATTTACAGCTCCGTCCGGCAGATCATTCACCTCGTCAGTTTGTGCCTCAAACACAAATTCAAACACAAAAGATTGGGCCAAGAAATCCAGAAGTCCCATCACCTCCTCGTAAGCTCGTCTTACCTGACCCCTACAGGCATGACCCACGTAGCAAGCGCTCGGCCCGCCAACGCGATAGAGGCCCGTACCTGAGAGATCACCCAATCTAGGGATTAATGACGCAATGTTATGAGAGGTTATTAAGGCTCTGCTATCTGCGCCGAAACCCCAAACTTTTCCATTGTAATCCGTGGATACTTATGAAGTAGTACTTGGAGCTTTTCGACATGACTTTAGAGTGCATAGCAAATGTACCCAGTCACAAACATGAAGACCGCATGAAAAGCTTACAATCAGCCAAACCTTTAAAGCTCTTGTTCGTGATAAGCAGGTTCTGCGAACAGATGACACCCATTCGAAACCAGCAAAACAGGTTGTTCAGGGCCAGCTCCACGCTAATAGGAAAAATTTGCGCAGTTGAATTTTGAGCACCAAATCTGCGATCGCCTTCGAAGGTCGAGACCAAGAGGCTCATGATAGAGGGTTGACTATTGCTTATAGCTTGTCCCTATGTTGCAAGGGCCACAGCTGTACGTGATCATTAAAGTCTCGAGGAAACGCCCCCGCGACGTGATGGAACAAAGTCCCACCAGTTTCAACCCATTCTATGAGCGATCCAAACCCTGTACGCTGAAATTCGTTCATTCTTAAACCTTACGAAAAGGATCCACGGTAAGCGTTGGCGTCTCCACAAGATCATAGGACGGGACGCCTTCAGCTCTGCGTCTATCGATGAAGTCTTGACATTCAGCTATGGAGAGCGACCACTCCGCAAGTGCTCTGCCTGTGTACGTTCCTGGACCTCTAGTAAGTCCCTGAATCTTACGGGCAAATCTAGAAGTGTCTAGCACGGGGTCGTTTGATTGTGGCAATAGGCTGAAAGGGGGCGTCCTTGGTGGAGACATACGTTTTTCTCTCCCGACCCACCTGCCTTCCTTTTCCATCCATTCGAGCGAAAATTTGAAGGACAATGGCCTGTATGCTTTTTGGAGCGTTGGTTGAGCAGCACTCGCGAGATCGCTGGAAAAGCCTTCCTGGGTCCTAGGACGCAAAATGTCGCTTTTAGCATCAGTGGTCGTAGCTGAAGCCTCTGGCTGAGTACTGCTCGCTTCACTATCTGATCGTCCGCCTGTAGCGCCGGAGAGTAGCATACTCTTGATTGACATCCAACTGTCTCTCAAAAATAGCGATGACTGCTTTTGCGGTTTCGAGCGTTCATGGTCAAAGAGAAAGTCCGGAGAACTATGCTTTTCGTACGGATTGGCCTTGGCAGTAGTAGTAGAAGACAAAATGCCGTCAAACGAAAGGAACATGCCACTTTGTGCGGGCTGAATGTCGTCCCTACTGATGACTAGACACCTGCTTGGAGCAGGACTGCAAGGGGTAGTGGATACACGCGGCAGACCTTGCTCCTCTGCAGCACGCTGCAAAAAGAGGTAGTGCGACCATGTTTCCTCCAAGCGATCTCTTAAGACATCTAAGATCTCCCTGTTTGCAATTAGCAAGCTTCTAACGTGCGAGGGCAGAGCTTGTACCGATTATCGTCGTTCTTCTTCCCATCGAGCCTCCCGATTCTCCATATTAAAAGGCGCATATAGAATGCTCTAACCATGGGGCACCAGTGGTTGAACTGTCGATGGAAGATTTTCCTATCAAGAAGCCAACCACAAGTTAGATCCCGTTTCCTCCGAGCGTCGCTCGTTAACGCGCCCCACATGCTGAAGATGAATGCAATCAACCTCACTTCCGTCAGGCTGTTTTGACTTTCCAAAAAGCGCTTATACACCTCGAACCAGAAATCCCAATCCACATTACTGCTGAAAGACCCACCGTCTGCTTGATATCTATTCAAAATAGGAATGGCTTCCTCGAGAAAGTCACAGAGCGAGAAACAAGTATCATGATCGAAGATAGAAATGGTGCTCGCTGCAGTTTTCAAAATCGCATTGATAGATTCAGCAAAGATACGTTGGGTCTTCTTGTCCATGACGTTGGCACTCGACAAGCTGTCTCTGAAGAGCATGATTAGGCGGTTTTCTGCCATGGAGCGATGTAGACCGACAAAATTTATAGGCAACGTTGGAGCAGTTGCCTCAGCTTCTCCTAGAATCGAGTCGAATGTGACAGGTAGGGGACTCTGCGCAGGATCGGCAAGGGAGACCATCTCTGAGCGTCTTAGTGTTCGCTCGAGTATTCTCAAAAGTTGAGCATGTATCAGCAACCATCCTGGAGCAGCCGTTCTCGCTTCTTGAGATACGTCGTCCGGAAGAAGACGACATGCTATGTCTACATAGAATTTGACGAAGATGTAGAAAAGATCTGTATCACCTCCACTCCATCTGCTGACCCACGGCCCGGTCCAAGGGATTCGTGATGCTGCGGCAGGCAAGTGAGGACGTGTCCTTAGATGGCGAATAATCGGACCAGCTAGACCTCCAAGTGGGCGAAGAGAGTAGGGGAAATTGGCCACAACTTTGTCTCTAAGATTAGCATCCTGTGGAAGAGAATCCCAACCACTGTGAACTCCAATCTGTCTTAAGCTTTTTGAAGGAAGTTCCCACAACCTGACCAGAACTTCAGCGATTCCGTTGCAATAGAAGAAAGCGTATGCTGTGGCTTTGCCGCAGAAGTTTACAACACTAGCAGCAACATTGCGCGTTGACATCTTGTCAACCACGTAGGCCATCTGAGCAAGAAGATTTTGCGATAACATTGTCTTTACGTTGTGAAAAACAGAGTCCACAAGAAAATCGGACATATTGGAAGTCAGTGAGGTCGCAGATCTTGACTTGGGCAGAGGCTTCGTTGCCTTCCCCGTACGGACTGGACTTGTAGTCCATTCAGGCCGTGTCATTAAGCCGGTAGCCGCTTCCAGGACTGCAGGTCTTTCATTTCCGGACACAGATTCTCCATGCCGGCCATTGAGCATTTCTATGACACCGGTCCACCATTTGTTCAATATCACTACCCTTCGATCCAGATGCTCAGGCCTGATGTTGATATTCGAATGATGATTAGCATAGTTGCGAAGAAATGGCAGGATAGTGGAGCGAATCACAGCAGTCTTTGCGTTGCTCGGTTTGGCCTGAAACCTGGGAGAAAAAGGTCAGTCCCTCCTGCAGGTGGAGAATTTTGAAGTTGCATACTTTTGGAATTCGCTGTCAAGATCTCGGAACGTACTCCACAACTCATCCTTCTTGCGCCCATACTTCACGGCTGGACTTTGCAACCTTTCGTTGGAGGTCCGAGAGGGTATTGTTGGTGTACTGCTAACCGTCTTTCTCGATGAGACGGATGCTAAGGTCTCATCTGTGAAAGATCTAGGGATCTGAGGAACCACAGGAACATGAAAGTCCGAATTCTTGCCTAAAATGGTGCTCAAAGGCCGCCACGACCTTCTCCTAGACATAGAGTTGCGTCGGATGAATCCATTCTGCAAACCGTTATCGCTTTGGGTTGCAAAATCCTCGGTGAATGTGCTGTCAATGTTGGTGTTCGGCCAAGAAGAGACAGCTTCCCTGTCAACCTCATCCGATCGTTGTTTTTCCAAAAGATCCCCGTGAAGGGTCGGAGAAGGGGATCGATCGGAAGGAAGCCATGACTTTCGCCTGATCTTCGCAATGGATCCAGAGAACGAGCGACTGATTAGGCTGCGCTGACGCGATGGCATTTGCTCATATTCGAGATTTCCGCAACGAGCAGCATCATCAACGGAGGCCTTCGCATTTTCGTGAATCGATGTCTCTTTCATCTTAAGACTTGTCATCTTCCTGACAGCTTTAGGTCTCGTCTCATCCATGGCTGATGAAAGGCTCGGCTTTTCACCACCATCACTCTCTCTGCTGGCTCTTCTTGGCTGAAGCTTTTTGGAGAAGTTCGTACTGATTGTGCTAGAATGTGTTGCTTTGAAGCTATTCTTTCTCGAAAGTCTGGAGCCCCTGTTTGTCGAAGGCTTGCAGCTGTCTCTGACCGAATCTGATGAACTAAAAGATTTATGCCCTTCTCCGCCTTCTCTTCCACGTGCCGTCTTGGAGGCATGCCGAGCCACTGAGGCCTCTTCGGAGCCATCTGACATTCTATATGATGAGGATTATCATTATTCTTTGTCTCCCAATGAACGCGGACGTCAAAGGTGATCAAGGGCTGGCTTAAGGTAGAAGAGATTTTTGCAAAGATCTTGTGATCAATGGTATGCTGGGTAAAAGTGTGCAGCGTGCACGACCACGTAAAAGCGTGCGGGGCGGGATTGGGACACGATACCATGCAGAATCTGAACAGCAGAGAGGAAAAGATCGACGACTGTACGAATGAAGTGTCAAACCCATTCTTTGCGTTCATTCACAATGTACCTTAATGCTGCCGAATTTCCCAGGCCCCCTGCCCCCGTATATTACATTGAAACGCGACACAACTTTGCCGGGAAGAGGAATCCAGCTGTATATTTTCCTGCGCTAAGGGCACTTCCCGAGACCCAGGCCAACTATTTTTGGCAATACGATAAACTACCTTACGGATGCACCAAATGTGGGAGAGTAGGACCAAGACGGAATTACGAAGATCATGTTGCACAGCGCAAGAGTCCCAATCAAGCCATATCCACCTCGATTCTCAATGAAATCGATGTTCAACTTCGGTTGTTGGTGTCAACTATATATAGCGCGAACCAAGAGCCATTACCGTTATAAACATTCTTTTCATACCAACTACTTCGTTTTCTCTGATCCTGTTGCAATCATGAAATGGATAAGCCCCTTGAGCTGTCACTCTTGAGAGTTTTCGTGCAGACATTACAAGTGGCCTTAATCAACAGAATGCTAGACAGGATACTGCCACCGTCAGAAAGATAATTGATATCGAGCTTGACGTCTTGTATTTCGCTCGTGGTCCTTGTAGAATCGTACCTGGCCAAGGGTTGAAGCAGTATCTAGCTGTTCATTCACGAAGCTGAGCTAGAAAGTGCAATCTGGTCAAAAGGCATACACCTCACGTATTGTTGGGTCCGCTCACTAGTAGCTTGTATTACGCAACAGGCAACCTAGCAATATCGCCCACATAACCACCCTGTTTCTTTTCCAACCATTCCGGACTTATTAATTTCTCTTTGTCGGGATAGAAGATCTTGTATGCGTTGCGAATTGTCCCGTCGCTCACGCCGGCGACGGTAGAGATCTCCTTGGCAGTCTTCGGCACTCCCATGAGATGTGACGCCATGAAGATGCATGCTGCTGCCACGGAAAGCGGCGAGCGCCCGGCCAGCATCCCCTCGGAGTCCATTTTCTCTGCAATTTCTCTCGAGACTTTATTGATTGCGAAGGGTAGACGGAGAGCGTTGCAATATCTCTCACATAACTGCTTTGGGTCCGTTGAGGGGCCATGCTCGTACAGTTGCGGTGGTTGATGGTAGGTATCTAAACCAGTCAGCGCGGAACACAAGTAAGTCAAATGCATTGGAATTTTACTTGGATCTTCTTGTGATTGCTTCATCTTCTCTGCGTTGCGGTTATTGAAGAATTTTTCGAGAGCTTTGAAAACTCGACCTATCTCAGCTTTGGACACTTTGGTAAGGGTAAAGATCTCTCTGAAAGTCCTTGCTGCTTTCATCTGTCGACAAGCGATAAATATGACTCCTGCAATGATGGTCTCTTGGGACTTGCCCCTAAAAGCGCCGGCCTCGTAGACTTCTTTAAAATGCCCTTTGGCAGTGTCCGCGATTGACTTTGGAATGCTTAAAGACTCACAGAAGGCATCGATTTCTTTGTAAGCCGAAAGCAGAGCTTTGGCAGTCTTGTTGTGATTGGCTTTGTTCTGCGCTCTTTGCAAATCCCTATTGCGACCAGGGTTCCCGCCGTTGAACGATATGCCGGTCTGCAGCTGCGATCCATTCAACAGAGGGTTTGCAGCGTCCCCAACACGTGATGGGTCGTCTCCTCCTTGATCATCATTGGAGAATGTGCGCCATTCTGACCGCGTATCGACAGTCCTGTCTCCTAGCACCAAGCCGCAAGAGCTGCATACAGTGTCGCCTGAGGCATGTTCTTCCACAAGATTGGGAGGGAATTCCTTGCAGTCACGGCAGATGAGATGATTGTTAAGATTTTCACGCCAGGGTTCGACTGGCCTATCAGGCTCGGCTACGATTGTGTTGCCTGTTGGTTTACTCTGAGCAGCTGCTGTCGTAGCCATAGATGACGACAAAACTTGTCCAGGGGAGTTTTCAAAGGTGTTGCACTATCACTTTTGACAAATCTCTGCCCTTCTGCTTGCTTCTCGACTGTACCAATAAAGGTGTCCGTGAGGTTCATGTGCCTTACCCCACAGAAAGTCAAGGTTGCGCGAAGCACTTTGCAATGAGTGATATGATCTCATCAACAACCTAAGATCATCGCATGGTTGAGGAGAAATGAACCGAGCGGAAGGGAGACCTTGAGGACGACAAAGAGATGGAAGTGAACGCGATGTGACTCTTCTTAGTACCGGAAGGCTTGGCGTATGCTGATTAAGAATCGTTAGCGTGGAACGTCAGAGAAACCCGTGCTTTGACTTCCGTTGCTCACATAAGGAGTTGATTTAATAATTGTATCTTCAACCATGCAGCCGCTCCGTTCCTCGGTGGGTGGATTTCGAAATGATCAGCTGTATCTGGCTAATGGCTGCAGCGGCTTCTACGCTTTCTCCGCTATCGGCCGCAAGCCGCTCTGCAGCGACGTTGCTTCGTAGCACCAACACCATCTCGACGAGGTACTCAATAGTCTATCCTCCGCGTTTCAGAGGATTGACACCGATAGCAGTAGATCTGGTTCAAGACCTATATCTGCGGGAGCTGAAGAACTACAAACCGATAGCCCTGAAACCAAACGATGCCGATGCCCACGTCCAAAAGTTCGCTATACCTCAGCCACCACGTTCGCCGGAAGAATCAGATATTGCGAAGGATCTGAAAGCATATGAGGACATGCCAGTGGAGGTGGAAGGGCAAGAGGAGGATGTGGAGGAGGAGGAAGAAGATTGGCTAGAGAAGTGGGACGATAACTCCACTGGGGAAGAACATCATTGAATCGTAGGATAGCGCTAAGGCTGGGCGGAAGTGACCCCTTTTTTTGCCAGCAACCAAGGGTCACAATATTCACGACTCACAAACGCGGTGTGCGCGCATAATTAAGCCTTGAATGGTTTGCTCATCGGTATCGTTCCTTGTTCGGCTTGCAAGAGATAACGCAAATAGGCATCTAAACCATTGCGAGCAATGTGATTCATTCTTGCCTACTCGTATATTCGCAAGTGCATGGAATAAGAAGTCCTATACCTCTTGTTGAAGACTTGATTTACTAATTCACTGAGCATATGTGTAATATCAAGTTCATGATATTTGAGAACTGAAACCTGTAATCGAGGCTAGCATTTCGAGCATTTCTTTGAGTATATTCTAACCAAGAAGTCTCAATAGTCGATGCCGGAAACCCTGCTGTCTGTCTTCTCAACTTGTTCATGCTGTTCCCCCAAGACACTTGACCAATCGCAGCTACTTTGATGGGTCCGCCGGGTCTAAATATTATTTTAGTAGGACAATTAGAATGGCCCACTTGAAGGATCCGTTCGCTTACTGTTGAAAATGAATTGTATCCACTGTATGCCGGATTATCATCGCTTAAGCCAATGGTAAGCTTGCCGGCATTGATTGTCTTCCTCGCCTGTGCATGTATTCCAATCGTATGTATTCGATTTCGATGATTTGCGCGTATGCTATGGAAGAATACCTTGTTCAATCCCGCATGTGCAGCTTTGAAACAACTCTCATCATTTCGATATATGCTGCTAGCTTCAAGTCTAGTGTACTTCATTTATGGGCAAAGTAATGAATGTGCTGGGATCGCTCACAGCGCTTGAACTTGGTCCAGCAGGAATTAGATGGCCGGAGCCTTCCCTCCGCAGTACTCAAGATCCACAAGCATTAGCCTAGTGATTGTCAGGACTGACTGAGGGCTATGTGAATACTTGAACTTCCCGACGTCGTAGTTTTGTCATAGACAAGCTCCAGATTTTTGCCGCTTTTAAAGCTTCTAGGATGTATTCAGTCTGCCGTCCTCGGTATACGTGTCAACCACCGGAGCAGCTGAATCTCTAGCGTCATCTATCGCACCGATCAATTCTGAAGCATCGGCTTGAGTTAGCTTCGCTGGAGCTGTGATTCGCATGGTCGAAGCGTCCGTCTCGTGGATCGCTTTATTGGGAATTTTCTGCGTACAAGTTTCGTTCAGGTCGACGCGGTCATCGGGCTGAGGCTCTTCAATCCCATGATCCAGTTTCCGTCGTTTTCGAAGAGCATATTCTGAACGAAGAGCCGTCTCGGCATCCGTACGATCGAAAGTCTCATTTGAAAGGACATTGTCTGAGGCTACTCGTTTGAGTAAATTTTGCGAGGGGTTATCTGCATTGTCAATAGCACCGCTATGGTCGCTTAGAAGCCTCGTCTTATCATCGCCCTCATTCAATGGTCCTGTCGTCTCGTAAAGTATATCGTCCCGCCCTCCTTTGGTAGGAGCAGCTCGATACATCTTAGCAAGGTGATCGCAAGCGCTACTAATATCCTCCAAGTTTATACCAAGAAATTCCCACCAAGGCCGGCCTTGACTATCGTCTGGAAAAGCGACGCCACTATGCCTCGCAGCCGCATAAAGAGCGCTTCCGGCAATCGTTCTGCTTGGAAAGAGCAAGCAAAGCGTGGTGAGATAGCTGTCGCTTATGAAAGCCCAGGCGGAGTTTCTTAGCTTCTTATTGTTTTCTTCGCCGTACACGAGTAGAAAATCATATAAAGTTTTGTATGGAGGATCCAAGCTCAGGTCAAAACAGATGGCGTCTAGAAGTGTGTCCTCGAATCGTATGATAATGTCCCTCCATTTCCAATACTCCGGATCATTCACTATGTCAACCTCTTTGTATGGATTCTTCTGCGCTACCCTCACACTGGCTACTACTAATTCCTTGAGTTTCCGGTTGTTTTCTTCAACTTTGATGGCTAAGAAGAGGCAAGCGGCAGCCATAGAATAGTAATGATATCCTCCATTCCTGCGAAAGTCCATTGGATATCGCATGTAAAATCGATGTAGATATATAGAAGCGGTAGCCAAAGTGATCTGAGGTAGTTTCAACATGATGCCGACCTGAAGGATGAAATTGACGCCTTTACTGCGATTTTCCCGTTCTTCAGCCGGCGAGAGGCCTTGGAGGATTGACGGAGTCCGAGTAAGCTCCTCCTCCGAAAAAAACCACTGAGATTCTGAGGCCATGGGCGCGTCACTGGAGGCGATCACGCCTGGCTTCGTTCCGACGTTGGCAGAAGGTGTTTCTATTGAGGTGGGCATGCTTATTGTGACAATCAATCGTGCTCTCCCATGGAGATTCAGAAGCCTAAGGTGGACCTCGGACGCAGAAAGGATTGGCTGCTGTTGCGCGCGGGTTGAAGTCGTTAAAAAAAAGTGGCAGCAGCCTTCCGGAAAGACTTCCGAGAGTTCTTATGGTTTTTAACACAACAGTGAACCCTCGGAAGTCGATTTCTTAGAATGTCGCTCTTAACCAACCCTGTCGTTCAACAGGTTCTCATATTCTCACGTTGGCGTGGGCATATCCAGGGAAATTTTCTACATGCACTGCTATCCTACTTTTCACTCATATCACCCTTGACCAGCTGTGAAGCTCGCACGGTCTTCCGCTTCGTCCACAGGATCAAGAAGTCAAGGTATATACAAGATGTGAAATACCCTATTTTGATCCTCGTACTTTTGATTAGAAAAATTGCATTAGATCAACCGGGACCTGCCTCGGTTTTTCTTCGTGAGCCCACCATTTCGTACCCGCTGGGTGTCTTGCATTCCATGACCCTGTGCAACGCTCTGCTTCAGCTACGATGCTAGAAGTACTAGCGGTCAAGTCTTCGAAGTCGATCAGTGGGTGGTCACTTCCCGCAAGATCCGGGTCCAGGGAGTATTCAATCTTACTCCCAACCATTCCCATGAAGCCACTGATATCGTACACTTCCTTGATTACGCTGCCTTCTTCAACGATTACTTTATACTGTATCGTATTCCATGCCTTCTCTAGTCGCTGCTGCGCGGCTCGTCGGGCAGCTCTCAACCCAGAACATGACGGTGCGCCCATAGCTGCGACTGCTGAGGACCAGTCACCCGGGAGCAGGATTTGAGAACGAGGCTTGCACAGGCTTTGTATCAAGCCCCCGTGATCTGAAGGTACTCTAACGATTTCCAAACGCGGAAACGCCCCGGCGCGAATTGAATCCGCCAAATTTGCGTTCGCGGAGCCGGGCAGTAAGATATCCCAGTGCAGATATTGAAGCTGTGGAGAAGCAATGATAGGTTGAATCACCACTTCCTCTTGAGGTATTTCCGGAGAAGAATCCTGGACAAGGGTGAATTTCTTGAGATTCTTAAGTCGTAGCAGAAGGTTCGAGATGGCTGACATATATAGAACATCCACATTCACAATGGCTAGCCTTCGCAGCCCGAAGGCATTGCGAGTCCTCGAAAACTCGGAAAGACCCCAGAAGGTGACGCCTTCAAGATCTTGCAGACGAAGACTACGCAAAGGAGGAAGATGTTGTAGGGTTTGATCGTCGAAATCGTCCACATCAAAGCTAGAAACGCAAAGATGCTGTAACGAAGGAAGTCGATGGAGTATTCCAGGTCCGTGCAATTTTCTTGGGTCGCTTGTTTTCGTGTTGACGAATAAGTCTCTTTCAAGTATTCCATGGCCCGGCGCATGGAGTAAGAGAGTGGTCAAGAGTGGCCAGCCGTTGTGGAACGAGGCGAAAGAAAACTTCTGCTCAGCATCCATCAAGCCAGGAGCTAATTGGCGAAGGGCTCGTTGAGCCACTGCGTTATTTTCACCAATAAGCCACAGGTGAGCCCTGAGCCTCTTTCGCGTAGAGAGGGCATGAGTCAGTCTATCAAACTCATGACTATACAATTGATGATAGCCCCCAAAGCTCTCGAGGTTCGGGCATGTCATGACTACAGACGCAATCAGATCAGTTAAGGCAGTCGATGCAAAGCTAATGACGGTTTGCGAGAGAGTGATGTGGAGCTCTCGCACGTAATGTGAAAGAGAAGCACGCGCTCGCAGCGTCCGTCTTAATTGCTTCAACCTTATCTTGAGCCTCTTGACTCGTTGTTTGACGCCATGCTCTACGATTGATATCTCGCTGTACCTGCCCAACAATTTTAGCGCTTCAGGAAAGAGTTTTGGGTCGTACTAACAGGTGTTTGACCACCTCCCTATCCCAAGCTCTACTAGTGAGCGAAAGGGAGCACAGATCCCGTACGTAGCATGAATAGCAGCTGTTGGAGGACGGTGCTGTGTGAATCATTTTCAATTGACGCAGGATGCAGTTGTAAAGCACAGGCGGCAACCGCTTGAAAGGTTCCTTGGGCAGCTCTTTCGAGCGCGAGGTGAGGACAGAGTAAAACGTTGGGGGTTGGGATATGTTGACTGGCCGTCGTGGGTATGATGCTGCGATTGGGTCGAAACCTGGTCTAATGTTGCCGTAGGGTGATGCGGTGGAGCTCCAAGATATCGCGGATTTGGGGTTGTAAGTACCCAGCGTTGTGGATATGGAGCTGGTGGCAGAGACGGCCTGTATCCTCTGCGCCTTGAAGGCAACGAACGCGGGATCATGTCCCTCGCCATTGCTTGTTGGTCTACCATTGGTAGGACATCAGCTGATATCCACGAATCTTCTAGGGGTGCACGCGTACTCCGGACTGTGCAGATTTGCCGGAGTTAGGCCACCTTTCTTTACCACCATGCGCTCCATGGAAAAGGGGGCATTGGACGGCAATGCGAAATGGCAAGGTTGACATGTATTTGCTGATGCATGGGAGCGCCTGGTGTGACAAGCAGTACAACACAGCGAAAGATGTAAAGAGTGAAACAGGTGGCCACTAAGACTAGGAGTGAGATGCAAGCGTGTGAGTTGGTGAGGTGGTCGTGATTCGAACTGCTTTATTAGTCTTATTTAGAACCACACGGGAGGTGCAATTGCGTGAGCTCTCAATCGCGCCACAGGGGCATAGCCACCACTGGTGCCACATCGATCTTAAACTCCGCTCGGCAATCGATCTACAGTAGACTATTATGCGACTAACACGGCGAGGTAAAGTATGGGAGCGTGGGCATAAATGTGGGGTTCTTCCCTACTAGACTTCCTCGATGCTCGAAACTCGGTGGATGCCTCATGAAGTTTTCACACTAATTCCATCCGTTTGGAGGATGGTGGAGAAGAATGCTAAGCAAAGATTCTGTATGTACAGCACTGGATGCCATGCCAACCACAGCCAAATCTGTCACCCTCCAGCTGAGGGTATGCGTTGAGGCGTTAGCCAGATGCACATCCTTCCCAATCCATTTCAATGCGTCGTTAGGTACGCACCCATTATTCATTGTCGCTAAAAGCCATCAAAAAATGAAAGGTGCAACTCCGCGCCGACCCCAACGTAGCTGTTGTTCAGAGACAGTCTCGGGTCTTCCTCACAAATCGAAGTGCGAGTTGTTGAAGATATGATCGTCATTTGAAGAGGTTTTGATGATGCCACTCATGCGATCGCCTCGTCTACTCGTCGGGATTTTCTCCCAATCGTCATCCTCGTCAGCATCCTCCTCCATACGATCAAGATGAGAGCTTTGGAATTGCTCGTCCATGGTGCTCTCGTCGACAAAGGTGAAGCCTTTGAAGTTTGCCTGCATCCCAGGGGAGAGGGGCGTTGAGGCTGGCAGTGGCCCGCCAGCCCTTTGCACTGCGCTGTCGTTCAATGACTGGGTATCTGCCAAGGCATTTGTAAATTCGGGATCGAAATTCGAAACGTCTAGGATGTTCTTCAATTTCGGCTTGAAAGGGGGTACTACTTGCTTATTGGCCACGGATTCCCAGTCGGTATCGGCAAAGAATGTATGTTCCTTCAGCTCATCGGCATCTCTTTGCGCGCCCAGGCGGTGTTTAGGATTGCGGTTGAGTAGGCCTTTCACGAAATTTCTCCCTTCGCTACTCAATGTATCTTTGGGGAAGCGAACCTTCCCAAAGGCAATGTTCTTATACATTTGTTGTGTTTCATCGGCATAGAAAGGGCTCCAGCCACAACACATCTCAAAAACGAGTACGCCAAGCGACCAGAAGTCTACCATAGTGGTATACCCTTGTTCATCTAGAAGCACTTCTGGTGCAAGATACTCGGTGGTCCCACAAAAGGTGTTGGTTGTCTCATCCTTAGCAAGATTGGCTTTTGACAAGCCAAAATCGCAAAGCGCTATATGGCCAACGGCGTCAAGGAGGATGTTCTCCGGCTTCAGATCTCGGTAAACAATATTGAATTTGTGCAAATGCTCGAGAGCAAGAATGAGCTCTGCAATGTAGAACTTTGCTCGCGATTCGGGAAAGCGACCTTCTTTTTGCAAATGATAAAACAGCTCTCCTCCAGACATAAAGCCAGTCACAAGGTAGAGGTTTTCCGGAGTTTGAAATGAGTATTTCAGTCCAACGATGAAAGGCGAGTCTGCGGAAGCAGTCCGTACAAGGATATTTCTCTCGCCAATGGTGTGCGCAACTTCTTTCTTCTGAACGATGACCTTCTTTGATAATTTCTTCATGGCGTAGACCTGCCGAGTATCCCTTTTGTAGACTTGGTACACTTGACCAAAGGTTCCTGTGACAATTGTTAACCGTATTTCGGTCTACTGCACGAGAAAGGCGAACCTTTGCCAATAAGTCTAAGTACAGGAAAATCTGCTGGACCATACTGCTTTCTAGAAGTTTCCTGGAAAGAAAAGCGAAGATTTATCTCGCCAGAGACTTGATCAGTCTCTGGATCTCTCGGTTCCAATTTGTACCACCCCTCAACTTTCGTATTTTCGTGAAACACGTTTGGTGTAATCTTTGTCTGGCCAAGAAAGACGTCCTGGCTCGCACTGTAAACGGAAATTTCAACGTCCGAGTGTTTCCCAGAGACATCGCTAAGTAGTGTCAGTGCGTTAACGTGAGTTGATAGAGATTGCGTCCTACAATACTGCTTCATGGTTCCAAGTTGGCTCTGTCACTTGCTTGCCATTCTTGAAAGTCTTCTGATCTGACAAGCTTGTTGTACTGCTTTGTCGGCTCTTCATTGGTATTGCTATAGATCGACCCATGTCACTACCCGTTCGCCTCACGGGTACTCCACCATCCCTCTCCTTACTCGTAGCTGCAAAATCTGGCTCTGTTCCATTTTGTTTTGGCTCATGAGCGATGGATTCGATCCACTCGAAAGAGCACACCGCATAGGGAGAATAGCTAGGCCGTAGGCCCCGAGCTGATGCAATACTGACATAGAGCTTGCCTTTCGGAGGGCCGATTGGTGGCGCTGATCGAGTGGCTGTAGCGTCTCTCGGTTGACTTTGCGCATCCCGATCATCATTTTGACCTAGGGGAGATGACTGGGTCTTATTGGCTTCAGAGCCATCATTTGAGAGCGCTCTCGGTGTCAAGGGAGGGGTGTTCTTTGAAGGCGGCGAGGCCGCGCCATCAGTTAGCTTCATTGACCCAAGGTTGGAACTCAAAGCAGAAAATGCAGAAAGGGAAGATTCTCGTTCCGTCGGTGACGATGACGCAGTAGAAAGTTGGCGATTGGTTGGGTTCGACAGGTGAGACGCTAGAATTAAAGGGTTCACGGTAACCTCTGGCGGAGGGTTCGGGTATGAAGAATTCCTCCTGGTATGAGGTGGTAGTATGATATTACCAGACACGACGCGGGCGTAGGATGCTGTACGAGCCTTCGGCTGACCTTCTTTTTCTTTCGGGTTATGCGCATGACCATTGCCACAGGCGTCTTTCCCATGGCGCATCGCTGAGGAAGATGATGAGTGACGAGGAGTTGGCAAGGTATTGTGGGGTATCGGGGGAATGGGCGATACCGGACATTTTCTAGACGAGAGAAGCGCCTCTCCATCTGGAGAGGCAGGAGCCGTAGGGAGTCCCCAATATTCAAGCCTTCCGGAGTCATTGACAAGTATTTTTCCAGGCATATGAACAAAACGTAGAGAGAGTTCTGGATTGCGGCGATGACTGAGAGATTGGGCACCAACCTGTCCGAAATAGCTCCTCAGCGGCGGCCAGCGTTTGTCTTGAGGATCAGGCTTTGGAGTGCAAACTCCAGACGGGCAGCCGCTTAAAACACGATCAGGGCTGTCTGCATCTGAACTGGCATGAGAAGAAAGAGTTAGCAACAGTCGAAGAACGGCAGTGCTGGTAGTAGCCCAGTGCCAGGCCCGTCAAAATCATGCGCAAATTAGCAGATCTAGCAGGTCTTAAAGAAGATCGGAGGTAATCTGCTCCGTCACCAATGTCGAAGCTAAGATGTTCGGGATGCGAGAGGCAGTAAGTCAGGCAGGCAGGGAGAAAAGAGAGACGAAAATTGTGTTGGTTCGGTGGGGCAGCATTAGCGCGGCCGATGTTGAGCAGAGTAGCCCAGGTAGACTTGTCTTTCTTGACAACGACACCACTCGAGAGGGTCGAGTTGACACACGGGCGGAAGTTGTGAATGATGAACTCATCTACCCTTTGGCCGAAGGCGACCGACTGGATCCTGATAATGGCTGGGTCCAAGGGGCAACCGAAAAGCGAGGAGAAAAGTGAATGCCAGATGGCCCAACTCACCGTGCTTGCTGCAATGCTGTCTTCAGAAAATTCGGATTGATGCCCTCATGCTGCACGGCCATCATGAGATCGGGCTGAAGCTGGGTGAAAGCGCCGTTGAAGGCACTGTGGGTGAGGACTGAGGGGGTGTGAGCGGGGCCTTTCTCTTTGGCGCTCGGGAGCTCTGATTAGGAGAGAAGAGGCTTGGACTGAACCACGCACGGGGATTCTTGGGTCTTCTTTCAGATGGTAGACCTCGGATGTGCTGTATTTAGGAAGAGTAAAGCTCGACTTGTAGCGAACGGAACCAACAGATCAGCAACAGATGTAGGAGAGCATGCAGAAGGAGACGTTCTTTTATGTCAAAGAGCGGAAAGAGGGGTCGCATCAGTAGAATACTGCTAGAATAGCTTGGACTTGCCGCGCAGTCATACCCACAACTGTCTCCCATCTTTTCCACGTTGGCAGTCATTAATCAACAATTGTATTTACGATCAGCTATATAGAAACATCAACCTAAGAAGTGCCTTGAATGACACGCAGGCTATGGGGTCTGCGAGCTCCGGCATGTACATGCTTTTACCACTGGGAGCTCCGTTTCTGAGTGAATGCGGACTTCGGTACGCGGCCATATGTCGTTGTACAGCATGCTCCATAGCTACTTGTAGATAGACTCAACACTTGCCGAGATTCCCACATGGATTCAAAAAGATGTACCTGTATGCCGCTGACTCGAAACCTGAGTTTCTGTAGAACAGCTTTCCCAAGCCCAGATCGGATTAGTCAGCAAGCTTATCTAAGGTGCCTCAAGCGATGGAAAGTTGTCTTGGCTTTCTTTGTCTACTCGTTACGTGAGGTAGCGCAGAAACTCACCCTTTCAAATGGCCCGGTCGTCAAGATCTCGGGCTGCGGCGGCAATTCAGCGTGGGTATATTCTCTACTTGCGATGTGACTACTGAGCTGACAAAGCTAGGGACGCCAACACCAAGGGCTGATGAACCATCCGATGGAGAGATTGCTGGCTTACCTCAGGAAGAGGGTAGCCAGGACGAAGATGTCGAGCAAGACCAGATGGAGTTAGATGATGAGGCAAGTCGTGAAACTCCTGCCTTAGAATCAGATGAAGGTTCAGGTGCTGCAACACCTCCCCATGGAAGAGGTGGAACTCGGAGGAGGCGGGCAGGAAGACCAAGAGGTGGCGCCCGACGACGGGATGCTACTAGTCAAGACTTACGAGACCCTGGATCTGATGTGCCTACCCCGAGAAAGCGCGGAGGGTGGCGAGGTCGCGGTTTCGGCGCCGGCCGATGGGCAAAGATCAAAGGAGGCCCTTCTCACGTTACGCAAGTGCCAATTGACAAAGAAGGCAACATGGCCAACATCGTAGGTGACGAGGTCGAGCTGCCGGATGACTCCGAGGGCGAGAAAAAGGTCACCAAGGATGGAGAATTGCAGGGAGGTAGAGAATATCGGGTCAGGACCTTTAGGATTGAGGGTAAAGGAGAGAAACTCTACATGTTGTCAACTGAACCGGCACGATGCATCGGATTCCGAGACAGCTACCTCTTCTTTCAAAAACATAAGCATCTCTACAAGATCATTATCGCCGAAGACGCCAAGAAAGATCTGATCGACCGAGGTCTCATTCCTCATTCCTACAAGGGCCGGGCTATTGGCGTAGTGACAGCACGTTCTGTGTTTCGCGAGTTCGGGGCCAAAATTGTGGTCGGCGGCAGGAAAATCACAGACGACTACCTTGTGGCGGAAGCTGGAGCGCGAGGCGACGTAGAAGGTGAATATGCTGTACCTGAAGATGAGGTGCCTGGGGGCGCGGAAGGGTACGATCGCAACCGCTACGTAGCTTGGCACGGTGCAAGCGCTGTATATCATGCTGGCGCTTCAAGTGTACCATTGCTTAATGGGAAACCTGTGGAAAGCAAGAAACGGAAAGTCGTTGTCACCGGGGCGAATTGGATGTATGAACATGCAATGCAAGCTAGGTTCGTCACCTTCGTTACTGATCGCAGATATTGGTGGCTGATACCAACAGCCGTTTCAATTCTCTCACTACCGCCCAACGACATCTGAACCTGAACGGTATGTACAACGTGCACACCAACTTCATGCAATATCCCAAGATTATGCAACCCACCCAGGCCCGGTGGGAGCGTGTGGAGTCGCGCCCTCCCGCTTCACATACCATGAGGACCCAGAACAACGTCCTTGGTGATGAGACAGGAGATGATCCACTGCAAAGAGCCCCGGCCTCAGACGCTTTCCCAGAGTTGCCATCCTTCTACACTCAAAGATTCATGGTGACTGACACGTATTTTGAGACACCATCAACGTCCACTCTTGGCTATCCGGGTCCAGATGAGGCATTGGTGGACATTGGCCCACTGGGCCTGATGCACGTCCCGCAAGATGTTGTTGAGGCACTCCCAGAGGACTGTCAAGAGGCCTTCGTGCGGGCTCGAACACAGGAGAAAGTCTGGAAAACCCGGTGGAAGCTGGGGGGTGATGGCAGAACCCCGCTGAGAATCACTTACAATACATGACAAGTCCTTTACCGCTGGAGTTTAATCTAGAGAGGCAATATACCCCAGGTCTGGCACAGTGGCACCAAGTGCAATGCCGTATTTGGTGGGTGGCATCGGGTAGCGCAGAAAGGCGGTCAGGATGGCAAAAGAAAACGAAACAGATTCGGGGCTATTTCCGGACCGGACACATTATTCGAGCCAGCGTCACATCAACATGGAAACATCTGACTTGCTGCTTGCATTCGAACAGTATTTTCTATGCTCTCCGGCCGCGTCATTCACTGAGGGAAGCAAGCTAGAGCACTGACCGTATGCGCATTACGTTCAGAGTGACGTTCCCCACACGAGGATAGGCAGCTAAGTCTACTTCGGAGCATTAGGCAACATCTTAACCCTGCGAGCCTGCTGCCTTTCCGTAGATATCTACCGGTAGGACTATGACATTTATAATCGTCCAAGACTAAAAGGATCTTTGCCACAGGTTTTGAGTCAGTTGGACGGGATGCAAAAATTAATGTATTATTCCAGGGACTGCAATGGGGGTCTTGGGGCCCGGGGTGTCCTAATTAAATGTTCTTAATTTCTGACCATACGCTATGCTTCTTTCGTCCGCAGACGCTGCCGGTGACACAAAGAAATATGACTAGTGTAGACATTCAAAATTTCATTTCGAGCTAATTTAATTCTCGCCCTTCCACCCATCGACTTTCCTCCTCTCCTCCCATCTCCCTCTCCTTATCTTCGTCCGATTCTTCGACCTCATCTCCTCTGGGCCTGTCGTGACCTGCGTACCGTTATGGAGTCAAAGATCGGCTGAATCACTCTCCCACACCAAGACCGCCCGTTACATCTGGTCGCCCCACAGCATCAGCAGCCTGTCGACGTGAGACTCGAAGCTTTCAAACGACTCAACAAATTGAACGTTACTCAAAATTCTGTCTCCCTTTCATCCGCGGAATATCTGTAATAAGACTACAACCCGGAGACGAAATCAGTCGTGTGGTTGCACGGGGCAGGTCAATACATCAGACTGGGTATCTCCTTGACACCATTGATCCAATAATTGACACTAAAGAGAATCCATGGGTGTAATATCTTGTTTTTCCGGTCGAAAGGACACGTCATACCGCCTCCAAGCTTTTAAGTAAGATCTTGGGACATATTGTGTTGCCTTGCGAAGTCAAATAGCCCGAACTTGTCCAGTGTCCATCTTCAAAGGCTATTTGCTCTACCCTGAGCTTTCATCAAGGTTAGACATATCATCTAAGACTATCTTTCGTACCGCCGGACCGCGGAGTTTTATCTCGATCCGACCATTTTTATACAACCTTTCATGTTGTCATAAGTGGGCGGGATCTCTTTGGACAGCATCCCCAAGGAGAGTTCAACACACCAACGAGCTGTCCGTTGCGCACATATTGAGGAAAGCTGTGAGTGGCAGGCGATCGACTCCCTCAGCAGTGCCCAAATATGCCACTCTTCTATCACGGCCCAGTGTCCCAATCTATGCCACTTACACCCCCTGAGACGTATGGACACTATATTGACAGCGCTTATGGTTCAAGTTCATTTCCAACCTCACAAGCGAGCGTTTTCCACAAACAAAAACCAGCAGTGTTTTACTCCGCTCGACCGGTTGAGATGAACGGTGCATCCGAGCAAGTCCCTCAGATGTTGCCAGTGCCTGTGGTACGACCGGCATTCTTCCCGGAGGACGATCGGCAGCAGCCATCTTATTTTGCGCCTTCTCAGCCTGAGGCTACCCAGCAGGCTGCCACCAGTGCTTCGCAACTACAACCTGTTAGGATGCCGAAGCATACAATCAACAAATATCACCGAACTTCAACTTCAAAGCCTCAGCAATCAGCTACCAAGGCAAAGGAGGAAAAGATTGGTGGTGTTGCTGCTTACCTTGATTACGAAATGGGTCAGATGACTGATTTTGTTTCGGAGATGGCTCAGGGAATGTATGACATCTTTGTCTCCAAGATTCATCTTGCAGATATTGACATGGCTCGAAGTGTTTTGAATTCCACATCCACACCAACCCGCGAATTTCGCAAGTACGTCTTGCAAGTATTGTCATCGACTCGTCTTCCCAGCTCGACAATCCTACTCGGTTTGCTATATCTCTCTAAGCGTATGGTGCTTCTGTCGAGTCGTGGTCACTACATCCAACGATCTCAGGATGTGTACTCAATGCTCACGATAGCTCTTGTCCTCGGTTCCAAATTCTTAGATGACAATACCTTTCAGAACCGATCATGGTCAGAAGTCAGCAACATCTCGATCAGTGAGATCAATCGCCTTGAGTATGAATGGCTTGCTGATATCAAGTGGGACATGCACATTGACCAGGGTGATCCTGACGGTTTTAGACTCTGGCTCAAGCATTGGGAACATTTCTGCGCGAGAAGGACTGACGTATCATTGGCTACGTCAATGGACCAAACTCATCTCGACAGCTCAAGCCCGACGAGTGCGCCACACAGTGCGCAAAATTTACCTCCTCTTGATACTCAGCTGATCTATTCGCGAGGGGATGATTTGCCAAGGGCGAAAGTCGCCTACGCCGACCAAGGTATCTGGAATACGGCCCAATATACTCAGTGGCAACAATCGCAGGGGCGCTATTCTCCACCTTCCGCTTCCGAATCAGGTCCACATACACCGGATGCCTACGGGCTTCTCAACTCATATGTCTATGGATCCCAGATCATGCAGGATAGTCTGAAATTACCGTCGGCTCAGGGTCTACTGCCGCATCGTCAGTCATCGGATTTGTCGCTTCCATATACCCCGCAGTATAGCTACTATGACGCTAGCTACTATTGTCAGAACAACAGTTATCGACTACGCCCAGAGGCACCCTACCTCGCCTGTGCGTAGCGAGCAGCGTTGCCTCAGGGCTGTCACCAAGAAATAGCGAAGGCTTTCTTGGCTCACATTGGATTCACCCATAATTCACACATCACACCTAGATTCAGGTCGTAAATCTCTTCGATACAACAGGCAGCGAGCTGAGGCGTTCTTATTATTTTTTGTCGGCTTTTAGCGCAGAGCGTGCATAGGAGGACAACATTTTCTAAATAACGAAGGTTTCAGCAACTCACATATAAACATAGATCCTGCATTTCTTGCGTGCCGAATGGCATTGATGACGTTAATAGCTCACGAGGTGTTCCCTACCGGCGTTCATTGCTTTCGACTTCTTCCAGCGGACGGCTGGCGAATTTTAGGTGCATTTTCACCAGGAGTCGCTCATTCACCAAAAGTCACATATCAGCATACGCGGCTGCAGCCCCAGCCTTCGCAACTTTCCTCTATCATCAAAATGTTATGAAACTCAAGGGTCCGAGCCAACAAAGAGGACATGGCTTTCTCACCATTTCAGACATTTTAGACTTGTTTTCCACTTAACCTGGAGAGCTTTGGGTTGCTTCATTCAAGTCAGAAACATGATACCCTTACACAATCACGGCATTCGGTGTGTTTCTTTGCTTCAATCGCTAGTGTTGGCTTGGCAGCTGGCATTTGATTATCATTGTTCACAACTTGAAAGGGAGTCGGGCGGTCATTGAATGGAGAGCCTACTTCGGTTAGCGGTCTGTTCGGCACAGGATTTGGAATAAAAGCGGCTTTTGTACAGCGAACTGGTTCATTATTCTCTCACAGCAGATAGCAGAGCTTCTCAAGAAATAGATCAGTCGGCATGGTGCGACTACGTCTCCAGATTTCTAGCATCTAATGCACACTCATCATACCTTTAGCAATTCTATTCACTACATATCTTATCGTTGCTGTCGTTCCTCTCACTTCCGCTTCTACCATGCGCTTGTATCATTTGATGCACGAATTGGGCCAGATAAGATATGACTGTAATCCTTCTTCAAACCTAGGGGCATCCCAAATTGCAGAATACATTTGTGATCTGCTTTAAGCCATGCTGAACTACTCATCGCCCAGCCGCGTGGATCACTGAGGCTGCCATCGAATCTTAGTCAATCTTGAACAGTAATGAATAGAGAAACCCTGGAATTCCGGATTGGAAAAATGATTCAAGGCCACACAGAAGCCGCATGTATGCAGTATACTCATCGCTATGCTACGCTCCCTTCCCTCACCTGGCCGACCTCGCCTCTATGCATAAAAGTTGACCGTATCCTTCTTCTTCGCCTGCACCTCTGCAATGGCGTCCACATAATGTTCATGCCCGATCTTCACCTGCCCCTTTCTCAACGCAATCATGCCTGCTTCCACACATACCGCTTTCAGTTGCGCACCTCCAAACTCGTCCGTGCTCCGAGCCAACTCCGGCCAGTTCACTGCCTCATCCACCGTCATCTTCCTCGAGTGGATTCGCAGAATCTGCGCCCTTGCCTCTTCGTTTGGCAAAGAGAACTCGATCTTCCTATCCAATCTTCCACTTCTCAGCAACGCCGGATCGAGCACATCCACACGATTGGTGGCAGCCAATACTTTAATCCGGTCGTCGGACGCAAATCCGTCGAGTTGGTTCAGCAGCTCCAACATTGTCCGCTGCACTTCTCGATCTCCAGATTTCTCACTATCGAAGCGCTTCGTGCCCACGGCGTCCAGCTCGTCGATAAATATGATTGAAGGAGCCTTTTCCTTCGCTAAAGCGAAACAGTCGCGCACCAGCTTCGCACCGTCGCCGATGAACATTTGCACGAGTTGGGGGCCGGCAAGTTTCAGGAAGGTAGCGTCTGTTTGGGCGGCGCAGGCACGGGCGAGAAGTGTTTTACCTGTGCCCGGAGGTCCATACATGAGAGCACCTAGTGGAGAAAGGTGAGTGTTAATTTTGCTGTACGGCGAGCGTGAAATGAATACTCCAGGGGGGTAAAGATGTACTGTACCTTTCGGGGCCTTAATTCCTATCTTCTTGAACCGCTCTGCTTCCTTCATCGGCCATACCACAGCCTCTACCAGCTCTTCTATTTGCTTGTCGAGACCTCCAACATCTGTGTATTTCTCCATAGGCTTTTCGTCCACCTCCATAGCTTTCACCCTGCTGTCATATTCTGCTGGTAAGGTGTCCAGGACGAGATAAGAGTCTTTATTCACCCCTATCAGATCGCCCGGCTTGAGTTTAGTATGATCGACAAGGCCTATAAGCGGGAGAAAAATGGTTTGCCGGGTAGAGGTTTTGATGACGGCGGACTTGCCAACTCGAGTGGCGTCAAGATCAATGTTGGCGCCTTCTTCCGCCGCTTCCTTCTCGACATCGAGATCTAATAATTCGACAACATTTCCGACGAGGTATGGTAGCTGTCTATAACATATCAGGTGTTAGCATACAGAGCTTTCCCAAGCACGGCAGCAGGTGGGAGGCACCTGTTGTTCTCTATCTTGTCTAGATTGTCTTTGATTTTTTCCTTCATTGCAGCCTGTTCATGTGTTAAACGCTGAAATTCGCTCTTCATTATCCTCATATCATTATCGAGCAATCTTCTTCGCATATTGATGTCTCTTGTGCTTGAATGTAGAATTTCCGAATCTAGAGCATCCTCCTCTTTCTCCCCTTCTTTCACATCTTTCATTACAGAGTCGCCGTCCTGATTTAGCTTTTTCTCGCCATTTCCTTCTCCGTTGCCATCGTCTTTCTTCTCATCCTCCTTCTTCTCCCTCTCCATGTCATCTAGGTCCTCGAGAGTTGCCATGATTACGCGGCAGGGTCTGTTGAGGGTGCAGAGAGCGGGAGGAATGTGGAGCTCGTGAGGAATTTGAATTCCGTACTTGATGGGGTTTGTGGGATTGTCATCACGTACGCGTAGGTCTGAGACTGGGACAGGAAGTGAAAAAGTGGATTATTTAATTAAATAAATGCAATGCTATTAATGGCTTGCGTAGGTTGCCCACCATTCCGAACGATTTATTTATCTAACCTCAGGACAGTGGCCTAATGGCAAGGCGTTGCTTTCCGGTTTGGTACCTGGCAAAGATTGGGGGTTCGAGTCCCCCGCGAGTCAAAAGTCGAAGGTTCATCCACCTTGTATTTTTGCCACCACCGTAGAACTAGACCGGTCAAATCAAACACATTGCTCGTTTTTGGCGTCAATAAGCAAGCATACGCATTGACGGTAGGAAAGATTAAAGAAAGTCGAGAGAACGAAGGAAGAGTTGTGCAGATGAGATATCAAACCGCGACTATTTACCGGACAATAGGACTTCTACATTGGGTCTTACGATGCTACGTTTGTTTTTCGTCTGCTACACGCCCAAAAATGAATCTCTCCTGTGCCTTCTTTCTCCGTGGGTTTACCTGCTCAATTATGCTATGCTGGTTGCGCGCCGCAATTGCTGCCTCCTCTCTTCCTACACTTGTTTTGTAACGGGAGGGGGTTTCAAGATGTATGAAATAATGACCTTTTAAAGAGAGTGCGTATTCTATACCTAGAAGTCCACGCCACATTGTACCCTTTTTCGAGTCACGTGTGGAACATGACAGTCTCCAGTCACTCCGAGGGTCGAGACGTTCTTCTGTGCCCCCGACTCATCTTCATGTGTCAATATGGAGCATGTATGGCCTCTCTGCAAATTATTTGCTACTTCCTTTGATGCCCCAGTATGAGTCCTGATGTATATCCTTTGGCAGTCCACCCAGTATGAGGTCATCAATCACGCCTCCAAAGTATAAGATTGGCTGATTACGGGAATATCCATTATGAATCAACAAAATCTTTTGCAGCGTCTCATGCTCAAGTAGTACCCTGCCTAGCATTTAACCTTCGTATGGAACACAGTGGGTAGGCAAAGCTGTGACAAGATCTCTGCCAAGTCGCTCAGGTGCGTCACAAGGTTAAGATTGAGCCTCGAAGACGGAAAGCCAATAATATGTCTCTTAATGACTCCACCATTGTAAGCCATTCAATTGTTATACGTGTAGGAGTAGTGATCACTGAGTCACAGGAAACCTTCATTTGAGCTACGCCTAGCTTCCGTGAGCTCGAAGTTTCTTTCTGAGTCGTGCTCTTCTTCGTAAACTTCTATTTTCTGCAACGATTCGTCATGAGAGCTGCTTCGTATTCCCGAAGGACTACTTCTTGGATCAATACGCTCTCTGAAAGAGGTTTGTGAGCTTGAAACTAGATGGCCGAACACGCACCAGTTTATTTTTTTCGCGAATATGAAGGAGATTGTCCCTTCCTTTCGCAATGGTATAACGCTGCGTTCACTGCGCCTCCGCCTGCAAGCCTCAAATCACAAGGCCCAATGACTTTCGTCACCACAGAGCAATACATGATGTATCACAAAGCCATTGTCTTCGAAGATTTTGATATTGCAACAAAAATCATGAAGGAGAAGAGCCCCAAAAAGCAGAAGGGGTTGGGAAGGAAAGTTGCAAATTTCAGCAATGAAATATGGGATACGCACAAAGAACGGGTTGTGGAGGATGGTAATTGGTACAAGTTCACGCAGGGCAAGGAGAATCCGGAGGAGATAAAAAAGGCGCTCCTGAATACTGGTAGGAGAAAACTCGTCGAGGTATGTAGACCCTGAAACCCTCCATGATGCTATATGTATTCACTAGTCTCTTTAAGGCTTCACCATTTGATCGAATCTGGGGTATCGGGTTTGGTGCTAACAATGCGGGGGCGAACAAAGACAAGTGGGGACAGAATTTGCTCGGTAAGGCTTTGATGCGGGTGCGAGATAGGATTCGAAAGGAATCTGAAGAAGCTCATGCTGTGAAGGAGTGACGAGTGTTTGGAAGGTGTCTCGAAGTGTCCGCTACGGCTTTGAAGATGGTCAGGAATTCGGAGAAGGTGACTCTGGTAAAAACCACCTGCGATCATTACGGTAGATCGCAGTAGACATCGTCCTTTCTCTAGACTTTCGGCATGTATCAACGCTGTGCATCAAGTCTATCAAAACGTGTTTGCATGAGACGTTCATTGTCGTTCCTCCATGTTTCCTTGCGTAGTATGCTCGCTTATCGTCTTGAATACTGGTGGGGTTTGTCAGAAGCTGTCAAATGCTGTACGTATGCCATGCAATGAAAACGTCCCCCTCAGCACCTATCAATCGTTAGCCGCTAGTCAAGAATTGAGGTCGAGGGTGTACATTTTGAACGCCAGACTCCCTGCTGCATCTCTATTTGTGTCGTCAGCTTGTAATTGGTAGTCTATCTGAATATCTAAATCTCTTTTTTTCTTGGAGTTTGGCTTGCTCATGAGGTAGCCATTGACTTGCTCTCCGTCTTCGACCGTCAACGTCTCACGTAAATAGAACACTGTCTGTTTCCAATGGGTATATTTAGCGTGCGGACCAGTAGAAAATCTGATGGGTTTGTGACAGGCTAAAAATTCGATGTCGAACCATGCGATCAGTGCGTGAATGAAGTCAGATCTCCGAACTTTGAGGGAGAAGGGCGCACGAAAGGCGAGGTCTTCTGCGGTGACGGTGTAAAGGTCTATCTCGAATACTCTGCAAGGATCTGTGACGCAAGCTTTTAGCTCAACAGTGTCGACAAGAGGCTCTGCCAAAGCCGTATCTTTCAATGGAGTAAAGTCAAAGCCGTAGACGTTATCCCAGACTTCGACTTTGATCAGCAGTGAACGGAGATGGCGGCTTGAGGGGACAAACAGCCTATTTTTTCCTCCTTGTAGTCACCATCTTCTATACCAGCCATCTGTACCGTTGCTCTATCTGGAAAAATCTTCCCTTCAGTCACGAGGTATCTATCTCGCGCGTACAAGACCGTATCGAGCATACTCTCGTAGAGAAGAAAGTAGCCCATCCACTCTGATATGATGATGTCCACCTTTTGGAATGGCATTTTGACTTCCTCCATCTTGCCCTGCAATAGTGTGATTTTGGCCGTCATACCGTTGCGCTCGACTATCTCCTTGGCTTTGTCGATGATTGTTGACATGTCTACACCTACAACATGTTTTGCGCCTGCTTTGACCGCAAACCTGTAGTAGTAAAACTTCAATTATGGCCCTGAGGAACGAGACTAGAAACACTGACATGCTGAGAATCCCGGTTCCGCATCCTACATCGAGGACAACCTTATCCTTGAAGAGATGTTTGTTTTGGTAGATCGCGTCTCTATATGACCTTGTCCGTACTTCGTCTTTCTAGAGCAGCCGCAGGCGGTTAGCCAATGCAAAAATGAGGCTTGACAAAAAACCCACCAGCATCTCTTCATGGATGCCTAAGCACGGCGAGAGAGTCGTCAGCGAGTGCTCCCGACATCAAGACAGCTACCCGATATCTACCATGATGGTTGTAAGAGTTGAAATAGTGTAGCTCCGCCGCATCTAGACCCGCCAACCTATCCTCCGCGTCAGGAGCCATTGTCACGACAGCTTCACAAATGTCCAAGGTTCCGAATCTTGGGCTGTCCTGCTAGGTGGCAGCAGGAGATAATTCTTCGGGAATCACCGCGTAGAGATCGATCTCTGCATGGTCACAAACGGAGTTCCTGAAAATTGCTAGAGCGCATGAAAGAAATAGCGTTCTGGTGTTGATCAAGAATTGGGCAGAGAGGGCTAAAAATTCGTGATTAAAGTGTTGTTTGACTAGACTCAAATATCAGAACGGTAAAACCTCGGGCAAACGTGCGTCGCAGCAGACCCTTGATAATTTCATCTACAGAGTCGTCCGATATAATCAAAGTACACGCAATGGATTGTTCATTTAATCGCAATAGATTGATTTATTCATATAGGGTTTCAGGAAATTATTTTCCAAGATTTCGGCTAGTACGGCGTGCTAGGGAAAGCCGAAAGCCCACAAAGCCCTCCTACGGTTAAGATGAAAAAGGAATCAGTTGGCAGAAGTAAGACGATCATTGAGCGACCTTCAATTTAATATGTTAGATGCATGGCTTGGACGCAAGTATCATCTTATACTATAAATGCACTAGTATCTTCTTCACATAGCAAAATGATCTCCCCCTTGTCCGAACAGGGTAGTCGATGGGGGACTAGCTTTTCGGAGTCCTATTACCTTATTTAGGCAGTTAGATAGAGTATATCTATGTTTCGGGAATATGTCTTAAAGGTAAGCATTATGCGATTGCTCTCAAAATATTGAAAAAGGGTAAAAAAAACTCCGAATTAATAAATTAAAAACTAGCTTTTTAAAGTTTTATTACTTTATTTAAGCAGTTAGATAAAGTATATCTATATTTTAGGAATATATTTTAGAAGTAAATATTATATAATTACTTTTAAAATATTGAAAAAGGGTAAAAAGAACTTTAAATTAATAAATTAAAACTAACTTTTTAAAGTCTTATTACTTTATTTAAGTAGTTAGATAGAATATATCTATACTTTAAGAATATATTTTAAAGGTAAATATTATATAATTATTTTTAAAATATTAAAAAAAGGTAATAAAGACTCTAAATTAACGAATTAAAAACTAGCTTTTTAGAGTTTTATTACTTTATTTAAGTAGTTAGATAAAGTATATCTATATTTTAAGAGTATATTTTAGAGGTAAATATTATGTAATTACTTTTAAGATATTAAAAAAGGGTAAAAAGAACTCTAAATTAACGAATTAAAAACTAGCTTTTTAGAGTCCTATTACCTTATTTAGGTAGTTAAATAGAATATATCTATATTTTAGGAATATATTTTAGAGGTAAGTATTATATAATTACTCTTAGAATATTAAAAAAAGGTAAAAAAAACTTTAAATTAACAAATTAAAAATTAGCTTTTTAGAGTTTTATTACCTTACTTTATTTAAGTAGTTAAATAAAGTATATTTATATTTTAAAAGTATATTTTAGAAGTAAATATTATATAATTATTTTTAAAATATCGAAAAAAGGTAAAAAGAACTCTAAATTAATAAATTAAAACTAGCTTTTTAGAGTTTTATTATTTTAATTAAATAGTTAGATAGAGTATATTTATATTTTAGGAATATATTTTAGAGGTAAGTATTATATAATTACTTTTAAAATATTAAAAAAAAGTAAAAAAAACTCTAAATTAATAAATTAAAACTAGCTTTTCGGAGTCCTATTACCTTATTTAGGCAGTTAGATAAAGTATATCTATATTTTAAGAGTATATTTTAAAGGTAAGTATTGTGCGATTGCTCTCAAGACATCGAAAAAACGTAAAAAGAACTCCGAATTAACGAATTGGAGCGGCAGGGGATCGAACCCTGGGCCTCGCGCAACACAAATCATTCACCGTAATGCAAAGCGCGCGCTCTACCACTGAGCTACAGCCCCGGATAAATTAAAGGCTTCTTATGTCTATAATATGTCTGACATTCTCAGGTCCCTCTGAAATACATCGGTTTATAACGATGTAGAAGCAAGTCCCTCCGTTAGTACGATGTAGTCCAACGATCAGACGATGTATTTGATGTATTAGGTACTCCTTTGTCTTCTCAACCGAACGAGTAGTAAATGTTTCGAAAGGCCAGGGGACAACACGACTCGCGCAGGAAGATGTTCAGCATGTCGACAAATACATGCTATGGGCTCTTCGGCCAAAATGCATTAATGTAACTTACCGATTCGTATCGGTCAGCATTGTCGACGTACATAGGAAGCAGATTTAGTCACGCGAGGCTTAGTAATCAGCCCCTGAATGACTGTAGGCTAGCGCGCTCTCCCGGCAGAGAAATCAATCGCGTGAGCGCAGCGATCTTTTTGCAAGCATGTCTCAATGATTGACTGAAGTGAATGACTTATGGAGTTACGACGACCTCCATTGACCACATGCGTACTTCCATTGTTTCTATTCTTTATTGTCTACTTACCAGGTCTGGTGCAAGCCTCGTTGGGCGACCGTCTCCCAGAATTCCGAGAATGTGTTCAGATCTGTACAAATGAAAACTGCCAAACGGGCAGCTCAGTACTTCGTATATTCGCCTGTATTCTGCCTACCATTCTGGTGCTGACAGAAGATAGCGCGGCATCTTCGTCTTTTCCTTTGGACTTGCCATTCCAATTGTGATTATGTCTGTCAGCACATCATCACTGATCGACGACTTTCAAGAGATCCTCCTATGCTCCACCCAATCGTACAATTCCATGGCAAATGGCCGTTCCAAAGATTCCTTGGTATACAAGAACCGGCATCTGTTTTGTTCTCCTTTTTCAATTTACTGGCGCACCAGGAGGGCATATCCAAGGTCAAAACCAGAATACCGGCCAACTATCCATTACGAGAATACTATCTGTGGTTTGGCTATGTAGGCTTGGCTAGCTGGGTGTGCAGCATGATTTTTCACACAAGAGACTACAGTCTGACTGAAAAGATGGACTACTACGCTGCAGGGGCTAGTGTATTCTACGGTCTCTACTATACGCCAATAAGAGTCTTCAGGCTGGAGCAAGAACAGCCCGCGGCAAAAGCCACGATCCTGCGTTTGTGGACCTTCACTTGTATCATGCTTTATACAGCGCATATTTTCTACCTCACGTTCATCCACTGGAACTATACGTACAACATGGCTGCCAACGTGGCAGCCGGCATCGTTCAGAACCTTCTCTGGAGCAGTTTCAGTTACACGACGTACCAAAAACTCAGGAAACCCTGGGCCGCCTGGCCAGGCATGATCGTGGCGTGGATCATCCTCGCGATGAGCTTGGAGTTATTGGATTTCCCTCCCATTGCGGGCGTGATCGACGCGCACAGCCTATGGCACTTGGGCACCGTCGTGCCAACGATTTGGTGGTATAAGTAAGCTGACGAGTGCGAATCTTGATCCGAATAAGTCGCTGACGGACATGGACAGCTTTTTAGTCAAGGACGCCCAGCAAGACATCACAGGAGAGCGACTCAAAGCGTAGATAACCAGCCTTGACCGTCAATTTGTCAAGCAATCGAGCCAATTTTTTCATGTGATCACATGCCCCTCACACTCTCCGAAGCACTGACCCTCCAGAGCTGCAACTGTCAGCCGTACCTGACCCTCTCCAATCGGAAAGTGGAGCCGAGGCCGCCTGCAGCACCCCACGGCGGGAGATCGTAGTCCCTGCCAAGTCTCAGAATGCCTACCTGACCTTAGTCACGTCTCGGGATCTGGACCTCCAGCTCTCTCTCTCGAACTGCTACATTCAGAACCCGTATCGGTCATGGCTTCAACTCAGTCTATCACGGAAGGCTCTGCCAAGTATCCCAACTCCACCGGTCGCACTTTCCAATATGGAACTGCAGGGGTAACTCGCGTTGATCTGTGCTTCGATATCGCTAGCTGACGCCCAACAGTTCCGCATGAAAGCGTAAGAACTTTCAACACTTGCATGCAAAGAAAACCACAGCTCATTCATTCTTCATGCAGGAACCTCTTGGATTCTGTCGTCTATCGTGTGGCCATTCTTGCGTCGCTACGCTCGAGAAAACTTCATGGCCAGACAATTGGTGTGATGATCACTGCGAGCCACAATCCTCCAGAGGACAATGGAGTCAAGCTTGTCGATCCTATGGGGGAGATGTTGGAAGGATCATGGGAGACCCATGCTACCACCCTAGCAAATGCGCCCTCCGACAAGGCTCTCGCTGAAGTCTACAACAAACTGGTACAAGATCTCAATGTTGATCAATCTATACATGCACGTGCTGTCTTTGCTCGCGATACACGAGCATCTGGACCGCATCTAGTAGCTGCTCTGCTCGAAGGGTTCAATGCCGTGGGCGTGGAGTATGTGGACCACAAGCTCCTTACAACCCCTCAATTGCATTATGTCACACGCTGCGTGAATACTAGAGGCACTTCCTTCGATTATGGTGATCCTACAGAGCAAGGGTACTATAAAAAGACGGCCAAAGCATTCAAAGCTGCATTAGGAGGACGGAAAATCCACGGCCCCTTGACAGTAGACTGTGCAAACGGGGTTGGTGGCCCAAAGCTGACGGAGCTGATCAAGTATATTCCAAAAGCGGCACAAGGTGGTATCGATATCAAGATTGTCAACGACGACGTAGTGAACTCGGAGCGCTTAAATCACCAGGTACATCACACGAGTCACATCGCAAAGACACGAGTTTTCTAACCTTAGGAATAGTGCGGAGCTGACTTCGTAAAAACCAATCAACGTGCACCCCCTGCTTCCCAGGCAAATCCGTTGGAGAGATGTTGTTCTCTTGACGGTGATGCCGACCGCCTGATCTATTATTTCATCGACAAAGATTCGAATTTTCGACTCCTCGACGGTGATCGTATCGCAACGCTCGCCGCTCTTTTCATCGGTGATCTCGCTCGTAATGCAGGGTTGGGCGAAAAGCTTAGGGTTGGTGTGGTTCAGACTGCTTACGCCAACGGAGCAAGTACATCTTACGTAACGCAGGATCTCAAGTTGCCAACATCTTGCACAAATACCGGAGTCAAGCACTTGCATCACGCTGCCACAAAATACGATGTCGGTGTTTATTTTGAAGCTAACGGACATGGTACTGTTGTCTTCTCCGAATTAGCCTTGAAACGTATCAACAAATACGAACCAAGGTCACCCGCCCAGGCTTCTGCTCTCGACACCCTGAAGGCGCTTACAGATCTCATCAACCAGACCACTGGAGACGCCCTAAGTGATCTTCTGCTGGTTGAAGTGATCCTGGCGCACAAGTCATGGAGTCCAAAGGAGTGGGATCTCACCTACACCGACTTACCGAATCGTCTCGTCCGGATCGAAGTGCCTGATCGCAACATCTTCAAAGCTGTAGACGCCGAGAGACGGCTTGAGAGCCCGCCCGGGGCCCAGTCGCGCATTGATGCTCTAGTTGGGAAGTACAAGAATGGCAGAAGCTTTGCCAGGGCAAGTGGGACAGAGGATGCTGTCAGAGTTTACGCTGAGGCGGCAACGAAAGGCGAAGCCGACGAGCTGGCACAACTGGTCGGAAAGACGGTCGTTGAAGTCGCAAGTCAATTTGTGCAAAGCGCTGGATCGAAGTAAGCTGTCTGTTGCCTACACTGATGCAGACGCTCACGAGCCGTTCTTCCCACGCGTAAGTCTCCTTCGGTGGCATGTTTGACGAAATATGGGCGTCTAAAAGTACTGAAAGTTTTGTATATTAAAGAGCAATAGCTCAGGAAAGGCATAAACTGATATATATCATACAAAGCCTCCTAGCCTTCCTCTCGATCCATCTCATCTCGTCCCCTCTTTCTTCCAGGGGTTCTTCTCCCTCTGAGCGTCGCACCCTTCCCACCCCTCTTTTCATGAAGATCCTTCATCTCCCTGATCGCCAGCCGCTGTGCCTCGCCCACTCTCTCCCCGAGCACCATGGCCTCCTCCCTCGATGTTGCGAACTCCCCCAACTTCTTACCGAGTGCCGCTTCTATCCGCTGCCATATCTCCACATCATATTGTGTTACCATACTAATCGCCTTCCCGGATTTTCCTGCTCTGGCTGTTCGTCCTACGCGGTGAATGTACGTCTTGCTGTCCGGTGGTAAGTCAAAGTTCAGCACGAGGTCGACGCTTGGAATGTCAAGACCGCGAGCAGCGACGTCCGTAGCGACGAGAATGTCTCGCGTTCGAGCGCGGAATTTTCCTAGCGCACCTAGGCGAGCGGATTGGGAGAGCTGGCCGTGCAAGGGAATAGCGCTGAACCCAAGCGAACGGAGTAGGATGGCGAGACGTTGCGCCTCGTTCACAGTTCGTGTGAAAATGATGGTTGTCTGCCCTACGTGCTCGTTGACGAGGTGGATGAGGTAGAGATCTTTGTCTTTGTAGGGGATGAAGATGTAAAATTGTAGGAGGGTGGAAACGGTTTGATATTTATTGCTGCTTATGGAGATACGGGCAGGGTTCGTAAGGGACGCACGCTGGAGGGATTCAAGCTTCGAGCTTATGGTTGCGGAGAAGAGGTATGTGTGCCTTTCGCGAGGGAGCACTTTAAGGATCTTGTCTATTATGGGGCCGAAGTCAAGGTCGAGAAGTCGGTCTGCTTCGTCCATGACAAGATATCTCAGGGTACGGAGGGAAAAGCCTTTGGTGTTCTCAAGGTGGTCAAGAAGGCGGCCTGGTGTCGCGACGATTATATGTGGTTTCTTGCCAAGGGCGATGGATTGCGGTACCATGTCCATTCCTCCTACTAACACAGCACAGCGTGCGTTGATGAGAGAGCCGAGTGCTTCAAAAGCTTGTGATATTTGATAGGCAAGCTCACGAGTGGGAGCGAGAATGAGCGAGAAGTAAGACTGGGGTCTGTCCATGAGTGCTGCAAGCTTGTTAGCTCATGAACTGAAAGAACAATACCACTTGCAGGTGAACCTTGCAATATTGGAAGAGCAAACGCAGCTGTCTTCCCAGATCCTGTTTCAGCCAGCCCAATGACATCGCGGCCTTGCAAGGCCAGCGGGACAGCTTCTTTCTGAATAGGAGTAGGCGTTTTGTAGCCGAGAGCGGCGCAGGCATCGCAGAGCGGATCAATGATACCTAGATCCGCGAAGGATTCTTCACGTGCTTCGTGGGTCTCGTCAGAGGCTGGTGGTGAAGCCTCAGTAAGTGCCAACTTCGCCTGCTTCTCCGCTGGAAATGATTGAGATCGTTCAGACCGTTCGATACTGATCCTAGAGCTTTCGGTGGCATCATCGCTGTTGAGTTTACGTTTCTTCGTGATACTCCCATTACCAATACTCAGCACTGAGTTGTTTGTCATGGATATGAGCCGGTTAATTCTGAAGTCTGTGAGCGAGGAATCGCACGATCCCAATTTAGAGTCTCAGAATATTTATCGATAAGAGAAGCTTGGCACTTCCCCGCTACTCCGTTATCCGTACAAGCACATTCATTCTCACTCTCGCAAAGCATGTAGATGCGAGCGCGAGCTCACGCTCAGCATTATCTGCCCCCCTTTGTTTTGGAGGTCTATTTCTATGCATCGTAGCATTATCTTTTGCTGCTGTGTCTCATCGGCGCTTAACGGTAGTCAGCTTTCTGCTTCAGCGCGAGTAGCAATTTTCATAATTTTTGGCTGTCATTTCGACATAAAATAGGTAATTTTATCTTGTGGGCAGTACCATTGATCCATATGGAGCTCGCTATCATCACGGGCTCAACAGATCTTGCGATTAGGTGTACGAAAATTGTCCAAAGAATTCATGTCACGCGTGAGAAATTCAAGGCAGCAGATCTTACCGTCAAGTCTCTAGTTGATCAGGTCGAAAGCCTTCGATACGCATGGACCAAGATTAGCGACTGGTCTGGTGCACGCGACGTTGCAAACGACTGTAGCGATTGCGATTGGCAATTTCAAGACCAGCTGGAGAAGAAACTAGACTGTGGATATCTAGTTATTGCGGCGCTTGAAGAAGATCTAATGCAAATGACGGCGAATGAGCGAAAGTCACGGATGACTTTCAAGCAAAAGACAGCTTTTGTGTGGAATGAGTCGATCATAGAAATCCATCGAAAGCGAGTCAGTGATCAAGTCCAGTCTATGGGTCTGCTACTCCAAGTGTCCCAGCTGCCAACCCCAAAGGAGCGAGTTGTCTTCATTGTCAACTCACGAACGCAGCTCAAAAAGTCTGACGAGAGTGCATATTCAATCATACCTTCACGAAGGTCCATGTCTATCCAGAGGGAAAGCTCTCTGAGCACAGACAGTGAAGCCTTAGCATATTACCCATTCGACTTTGAAGATGATCTTTTCACTTCTGACGTCTATAAACGTAATTATCGCACAGCCAAGGAGGTTTCGAGAGGGTCTCAAGTCAAATCATCTCAAGACCCTCAAGTTAAAACTAGCATCTTGCGTGCCGATGGCCAAGGAGAAAATGTAGAAAAACCCAGAATATCGTCGCCTGTCTTAATATCATCGTCGAGACTAGGAATACCGTCTGACTTCGAAGTACCATGGCGTATTAGGGGCGATAGCACCCATCGGCCGACAGAATGGTACCGGACCTTTTTTGAAGCTCTTAATAACCAGTCTTCCATCCAAGAAATCAAGGCAAGCACATCTGGTGCTCTAGGAATTCTTTGGGAAGCACTGCCTGAAGACAAGATGAAAGCACTAGGTGATGACACTGTCTCATCAAACGATATCCAAATTGGCAGGATCTTTACACAAGGGGACATCAAACGAGCTGAAAGCCTGTTCAGCGATTATTATGACGCATGGGCCGAGATTGCAATACTATCAATCCAGCATCCCATCGCAGTACTGTTGAAGGTTCGGAGCTTGAGTCGTCAAATGAAGATATGCTTGATCTTAAAATTGCTCGGTCACAAAGCGCTCCTCGATCTCTTTTGTCGCAATAAAATCGATGACTCGGCACTTCCTCTCTCAGTATCTGACTTAGAAGAAGTCTTCAAGGACCAGGAAGACTTCGCCTCTCTGGCCCTACTCTTTCAAAGTCAGCAGTACAATATAGTACAATCCGAGTGATAAAGTGTCTTGGATGCTCTGCCGCTGGGCAATCAAAGCCAACGCGTGGGTGCTGTGGTGAACATCCTCGCTCATGATCATCGGGGGATTCGGTCTTACAAGATTACCAATACTCCCCTCGTAACAATTGCGATTGATCAGATCTGCCAGAAGCACATCATCTCTTCCCGCGGTTCTGTCTTGATCAGTTCTTTTCACACTCAGGCAATTGCAAGTAGACTAATTTGCGCTGCATCTCAGAAACAAAAGTTGAAAAGACGCCCGAGGGGCCAGACTCCTCGATCTTAGTACTTTCAGAAGTCACCTACTCGATACTTGCCGCGACCGCGAGCTTTTAGCGTTTAAAGATATCCTCAGAAGTCTTTCCTCGCATGCATTTGTTGATTGAGTCAGTATAATCTGCACTATCCTCCTGTCATCGGAATCCAGGCTTTAGGACGAAGACGAAGCGCAGCCTATACTTCACTGTCATGTCCGTACATCTAAAACTTGCTAGGAGAAGGACCATGCAGGTCTCAACATTGGGGCTTTGTCGTGAAGGATAGATAGCCTTGGACTCTCCGGATGCGGCTGTTTTGATGAATATTGGACTAGCGGCTTCTGGTGTTGGAAACCTATCAAATACACAAGCCGAGGCTTCTATACCAAGACAACTTGAGTAATCCTGTGACTATAATGGAGCGTTTTTGGGACGTGACTTTGAAAGAAATATGAAGCCAAGTGGTGGTGGAAACCTATTGGCTCATGCGACCGCTCTTAGACACTTTAGCGTTGTGTAATTTAAGGGGGTCTATCATAGGTAAATTACGAAACTTCACGGCTTGGCACGAGACCGCCCACGTTCATGCAAAGCGCATTTTGCGAACTACAAAACCCCCATCATTAGTCTTCGGCTGCAACAGGCATGGCGCGACAACGGAAGAAGAAACGTACACATGCGGGAGCGCAAAATGGACAGGCGCATTTACATAAGCCTGGGAGCAAGGATCCTAAAAGCATGGTTATACGAATTGGAGCTGGTGCGGTCGGTCCCAGTGTCAGTCAGCTTGTGAAAGACGTCCGCCAAATGATGGAACCCGGCACCGCCAGTCGACTGCAAGAGCGTCGGAAGAATGGTTTACGTGACTATACCACAATGGCAGGACCGCTTGGGGTTTCTCATCTTCTACTTTTCTCGCGCTCAGAGTCTGGAAACACAAATCTGCGATTGGCCATCACGCCCCGCGGTCCAACATTACATTTCAGAGTAGATCAGTATGTTTTGGCGAAAGACATCAAGAAAGCCCAAAAGCGACCTCCATCCAGGGCAAAAGACTTTGCAACCTCGCCTCTATTAGTAATGAATAATTTTAATATGCCGGAGCCTTCAAATGGGCTGAAGCCTGGGGTACCAAAGCACCTCGAGTCCTTGACAACTACAGTATTTCAGTCAATGTTCCCTTCCATCTCCCCCCAATCGACACCTTTATCATCCATTCGCCGCGTTCTACTTCTCAATCGTGAAGTGCCTTCCTCGAAAGGGGAGATCAATGACGGTCTTTATGTAGTTACTCTTCGCCACTTTGCCATCACGACTAAGTCTACAGGCCTCTCACGGGGAGTGCGGCGGCTCAATACAGCCGAGAAGTTGGTTAAGCAACCTCAGAAACAGACGAGAGGCATTCCAAACCTCGGAATGTTGGATGATGTTGCAGACTATCTGCTCGATCCTTCAGCTGCGGCTTCGGGCTTCACTTCCGCAAGTGAGAGTGAAGTCGAAACGGACGCTGAAGTCGAGGTCCTGGACACCAATGTTAGGAAAGTCTTGACGAAGCAGCAGATGACAGAGAAACGAAGCAAAGATGGAAAGAGTGATCGGCCGCAGAAGTCTAGCACCGAAAAGCGTGCAGTCAAATTAGTCGAACTGGGACCAAGGATGAGGCTGCGAATGACGAAGGTTGAGGAAGGCCTGTGTAACGGAAAAGTCATGTGGCATGAATATCTCAATAAGACGCCCAAGGAAATTAGCCAAATGGAGAAAGCGTGGGAACAGCGAAACCGAGAAAAGGCTGAACGGCGGCGGATACAAAAGGAGAACGTTGAACGGAAGAGGAGAGAGAAAATCAACAACAAAGGACATCACCGGGCTAATAGTGAGGAAGAGAATGACGAAAACTCCGAAAAGAGTGACGATTCGAAGGTAGAATGGGATAGTGAAGGTTTGGAGGAAGAAGTGCTGAAAGATAGCTGAAACGATCGCAATTTTGGGCCTTGATGCCTTCCGAAGGCTGATTTACGACAATGGCTTCCATGGCCTTAATTCTTGCTTAAAGCAGCATGCGAAGAGTCTGATCCTTTCCGATGACTTGTCAAAAACGTAGAATGCGCCTTCCTTACTACTGGATGCGCACGAGGCCGTCGCTCGAGCACCATGTCACCGAAGACTCGGCGCTGATGTTCTCTTGATCGTGCATCTCTCTCGCTTCCGCTCATCATTAAGGGCATTCTAGCTTTTGGTTATGCACAATCGAATAACATTTGCTTATCACCGCCACCGAAGTGCCTTGTGTGCTGAACACCATCCAAGAGGATGCTTTCGCGCCGTTCTAGCAGGACCTCTATCAAACTCGGAGGGCCTAAATCAACCTCGTCCCTGAGACCTTACCGAGCGGATGGGCAGTATGCTGGTTTCAAAGACGAGGACACTGCTTACAATTCCGCGGTGACTGCAGCTGGTGTCGCCTTCGATCGTACGAAAGAACACAAGCACGGCATTTCAATCCAAGGAGCTCATCATATGCCAACAGAGCCTGAGAACAAGCCGAATATCAATAGACGGAAGAGTATACGATTTGCTGGGCCCTCCGCGGTACCTACAAGAAATCAGTCCATCACTCGCCGAAGTGCAAGAAGTTTTAGACCCTCAGCAAGTCCACGGGATAGCTCTCTTCAAACCGACAGACTTCCTGCAGACGCGGGCAAATCTGCAGTTCAAAGCTTCGAAACGGCCTCATTGGACGATGAGGAGTCTACCGAGCAGAACGTTGTGTTGAAGCCATCATCTTACAGAAAGCTTAAGAAAGCCAGATCTATGTTCGCGCCTGGCCAGGTATCATCTGCTGCCTTGCCTAGAATAAATGAGAAGGCAGGGCGCCATTTCCGTCGCCAATCTGCAAGGTCTTCGGAAAGCCTTGAAGAATCAAAAACATTGCCAGACCGGCGCCTTCGAAAGTCATATTCTTTTCTTCGACGTGTAGCAGACAATCTTCCAACAACTCCTCAACAGGATCCGCAAAGTGACGAGGCTGTGCGACTCGCGCGTGACGAGTACCTGCGTCAATTGCAGCAACAGCGACTCAAGGAGCAGTCTTCTTTGCTCAACTTAGCCAAGCGTAATGGACGTCGAAAACCCTTTCGTAGGAATCTGAGAACGAGCGGTGCGAATCCTTATGGTAGCCCAGTCGCCTCATCAATTACCGATTGTGAGCAGAGCAAATCTGTTCGGTTTGGTGATAGAACTCGAAGGTTCTCTGTAATTGTTAAAAACGGCTTCAAAAAGGTGTTTAGCAGACCGCCAGGAAACACGACTAGTATACCTGCCCAACATCTCGACGCAAGTCGAGCCTATTTTGGCAATACACAAGCACATATGCAGCACGCTGACCAATTCTATCCTCCGATACCCTCTCCTGATGCTGAGCTATTGCAACGAGTCAAGTCGAGGGAATCGGTCGGCCACCCTTCTCCACAACTCGTTGGGGAAGACTCGTCTGCGCGAAGTGTGGCAAGCCTCGAGGATACAACTCGGGACAAATCTCGCGTCACCAGTTGGACAGATTCCACGGCAGCTAACACCATACACATGCCAGGGAAAGGAGGGCGGAAGCGCTTGTCAGTCATTAAGGAGGACGGTGGGCCTCACCAGCCCTCGTCTTCCGCCATAGTATTTGAGCGTGTCGATACGGGCTATTCCGCATTCAGCCAGCCGTTTAGACAAAGCGGTGGCAGAGCGCCGGAGCCGCAAAGGGTCTTTTCTGCACTTCAACGCGAGATAGGTAAGAAGGACTCCATGCCCCAGCTTGATGAAAGTGATCTGGAAGGCGAATCCGCTTGGCACCCTCAAAGGACAATTACGCCCCAACATTCTTACCCGGATCTGCCCCTGTATCGTGGTAGTCACAAGGATCACCCTGAGATCGCTCGTCAACTTACGCCTCAAGACATTGCAACATTGAATGAGTTGGACGTGCCCAATCGTCCTCGATATGAGAGTGGCTCAGGCTTCTTTCCAGTTTACAAGCGAATTGAGCAAACACAGAGTACTAGCCCTTATCGGAAAGCCTTACAGTTGTCTGGTGCGAATGATGGAAATGCCACCAGTAATGGTGATTTACTTCATCATTTACGGCAGCCCTTCGCAGGCGCTAACCGGCAAGTCAGCCAGAATTCTGGGTCGGAAAGCGTTTATTCACGGGCATCAAATGGTTACAAACCTTATGCAAGCATTAGCACACCGTCCCTAATCAAATCTGATACCAATAGCGAGCCTGGAACTGCAGTTGTTATTTCTTCAGAGTCTCGGATGTACAGCAGATCGGTGGATCCTTTTAGGCAATACAGAGAAATATCAGATAAGTCCACAAAATCTAGCAGCGAGTGGAAAGAGAAACTTGCTTCAGAAATAGCCTCTCTTGATCGATCGAGCTACGAAGACGATAAGATCTACGATGCGTTGCCCGTGGCAAGGCGCGGACACAAGCGGGAAAATGCACAGATTGATAACGTGTCTAGTCTCACAGCTGGGGTGGAGCCCCATCTTCCATCTGGCAGAGCTGTGCGAGACATGGGCTTTACTCCTCCAGTGATGCAAAACGGAAGGTCTCGACCTCGAAGAGATAGGTCACCTCTCAAAGACATTACTCCGCCGAAGGTGGTCAACATGATTCGCCAGAATGAGAATACACCTCCATCTGGCAAAAGCAATCATCAAGGTTCCTCGGCTAATCTAGCTCAAAGATCCTCACAATCTTCTCTCACTCCCCGAAAGGAGAATGTGAAGGACTATATTAGTCCCTTGAATCGATCTGGCCTGGACCGAGCCGAGCCTCATCGCCATCTACACAGCAAAAGCTCGCCATATGTACACAGCGAACCAGAGAGCCTACCAGATCTCGGAGTGATGGTGGGTTATAGGACAAATGATAAAGCAGTACGCGGCTTGGCTGGTTTAGTAACGCCGAAGCGCGGTTTTGTGAGTACCACCACTACACCAGACATGCAATTCAGTCAAGAATTGCTGATAGAGCGCTTCTTGAAGAACCGTAGCAAGGCTTATGGAACCGGTGAGGAGGATACCAAGGACGCGGCTTTTCTCTGAAATAGACAGACGTCTGCGGCAAGACAGTCTACAATCTTACATAGGTCCTTACTCGATGGGCTAACCGCAAGATTTGGCCAGGCCTACCAATTGAGAAGGTTTACGCTGCGCTTTCTGTGTCGTAAACTTAAGCAGGCTATCTAGAAACCATTAAACCTGGTGGTATTCAAGATGTACAATCCTATGATGCTCACAGAGAATTTCGCAGCAACATAGCAAGTGGGAGATTCTTGCCCCTTATTCGCCCTGTAGCTAGTTGTTGCGATCGTGCAATCTGGGCCTCGGCAATAAGCAGTTAGCGTATTTTGCCACCAGTTTGCCACTAAGGCAAATCGCCACTACCTAGATATAATGCTTAATAATAATTACTAAAGATTAATTAGATATATACTTTTAAAGTATATTAAGCTATATATATATAGACTAATTATTATTAATTAATAATTATTCTTTTAATATATAAAAATTTATAAATTACTTTAAATATTAGTTATTCTACTCTATATTATATAATTATAATAAGTTTTAAACTTAAATAAGTTAACTTTACTTTTTTTATTTTATTAACTATATTTAATAACTATAAAAATATTACTATAAATAATAGTATTTATACTATATAGTAATAAAAGTAGATAAACTTTAATATAGTTATTTATATAAATTTATTAAAGGATTCCTTATCCGCTATTAATTTAGCTTTTAGATAATAAGCTAAAAAATAGTTTATAAATACTTTTAATTTTAAAGTTTTTAATAAGGATATAATAAATAAAATTAAATATTATTAATTAATTAAAGTAATTAATAAAGATAAAAGACTTCTTTATATTTAAATAACTATAGGGCTATATATTTAAATATATATATAAACTAGTATTTAGTATTAAGTATATTAATTAAAAGAAATATAATACTTTTATAAAGCTATTCTTAAAAAATACTATAAAGTCTATATAGAAATTATATTTTTTTATTAATATTTTATTAAAAGTAATTTAATATATATAATATAAAGTCTATAATTTATTAATAATAACTAAGTTCATTTTATTAATATAATAAATACTAATAATAAAAGCTAAACCTAAAGAATTTATAAATATAATAATATTTAGAGTTAAATAATTAAATAACTAAATTAGGGAAATTAGCTTAGAAGATAAGTAGAGTATTATTACTATTAGAATTATTATTATTAAAGTATTTAAATATAATAAAAATTATAAAATAGCAATTTATTATTTTTATATCTTTTATAAGCTTAATGTAGAAATAATTATTTAATAATTTAAAGCTATAAAAATAAGTACTATAATTTATAAATATAATATTATTTAAATTAAATAAAAGGAATTAAATTATAAGTTTAAGAAAAATTTTAAATATTAGTAATATAGTAAACTATATATAATATATAATTATAATTATAATAGTAATTTAAATAATACTTTAAATATTTAATAAGAATATAATAAATTTATTAATAAGCGAAGAAATATTTAAATTAATAACTAGAAAAAGTTAAATAAAAGGAATAATAAAAAGGACTTAAAAAATTAATATTAAAAGAAATTATATATAATTATAACTAATAATAAGTCTTTTATAGAAGATACTAAGGTTGCTAAGAAATAAACTTTAAGTTAAAATTAAATACTTTTATTACTAAAATATATAGATATTAATTATTTTAATTATAAAAAAAAGATTATAAATTAAAACTAAATTATATAAAACTTAATATAAAATTATAGTAAATTAATTACGTTTTAGCTATAAAAATTAAAGATAAATCTATATTTATTAATTTAACTTTATTTATAAAATAAATAATTAATTTAAAAGTATTTAAATATATAATAATTTTAAAAACTAATTTTATTATATATAATAAAGTCCTAGCCGCTATTTAAATTAATAGTAAATAAATATTAATATTATCTAATTAAGGGGATATTAAAATAATAATAAATAATAAAAAATATATTATTAAAAATATTTTATATATACTTAAATTAAAATATAATTTATTATTAATTTTAACTTTAAAGTATTCTAGGTTTTTAATATAATTTTAATAAAAAGTAATAGAAATTATATAAAAAAGTATATTAATTATAATAGGGTATAAAGTAAATAATTTATACTTATTAGCTAATATATTAATATAAGCTACTTTAGTTTTAGAAAAAGATTTTTAAAATATAGAAAATATTAAAAATCTAAAAATAGTTAATAATATAAAATTAACTAAAAATAATATTATTATAGTTTAAAAAAATAAGTTTAAAAGACTATATAACTAACTTAGATATTTTAATATTATATATATAAAAAAGTTATATAATATAGTATATAGCCTATAAAAGCTTAAAATCCCTAAGGACTTTTTCTATAATATATATAAAAATAATAAATATATAAAATATATAAAAAAAATATAAATATAAGAAGTAAATAGAAGTAGAAGTATACTTATTTTATAATATTTAAAAGTTATATAAAATATAAATAATAATTCTTAGTATTAAAGTAAAACTATATTTTATATTTATTATTAATAAGGTATATAGCTATATAGAACTATTTTTAATAATAAATAGGAAATATATATAAAAGCTTATTATAAAGATAATAAATTATTATAATTACTAAGAATATAATAGCTAAAAAATTATTATATAATTTATATATTTTAATAATATAAAAGAATTCCTTGCTATTACTAAAAGTTTTAAATAATAAAGTATATAAATAGAATATATTATAAATTATATATTTAAATAAAATAGTACTACCTATTAAATAATTTAATAAAATAATTATAATAATAGTAAGGTATATAATATAATATACTAGCTTACTAGATAGATTTTAGCTTTATATAATAAAATATATAAACTATTTTAGAAATTATATTTTATTAATAAAAGAACTTTATCCTATATATAGTTAAATAAATTAAAAACTATTAATTAAATTTAATTATATATTTAAAATATTATATAAATATAGTATACTAAAGGAAAAGCAATCTAAGCTTAATAGCTATTATAACCCTAGTATTTAAACTAGTAAATAATATTAACTAATTTAACTATAGGTTAGCGGATTAGTTCTCTTAAAATATAAATAGTAGTTAGAAAATAAGTAAAAGCAAAATAGCGAAATAGAACTAAGTTATAACTATTTTAGATTTTATAATAAAAAATAAAACTTATATTAAATATTAGGAAATTTATTTAAAAAAAAGAATAAAGGGTTTTAATATATAATTTTGCTTAACCTACTTAATAATACTTAACTTTTAATTACTTTAAGTTTACTTAATTTAAAAATTACTTAATATTTTTAGTATTTAAATATACTTAAATACTTTAGCTATTTTTTCCTTTTTTTAGTTATTTTTCTTTATAACTTAGTATAGCTATAGTCTTTGTTTTATAGCAGTTATTTAGTTACACCTATTATATAAAATTATAATATTATTTTCCTTTTTAATATAATTATTTTTAGTTATTAATTTCCTTTATTATATTATTTTTTTAATTATATTATATAATTTTCTAATAATAATACTTAATATTATTATTATACTTCCAAGAAAAAAAATATTATAGTTATTATATTATTATATATTATTATAAAAACTATATTTCTTAAAGTTTTAAATATATAAAAACCAATTAGTTAGTTTACTATATTAAGTATAATAAATATAATTAAAAATATAATTTAACTTTTTTAAAAATAAATAAATAAGCAATATAATATTTTTAATAACTTAAATAAGTAAAAGCTAGTTATTTATTCTAAGCTACTATATATTTATAAAATAAAATAATTTTATTTAAAAAAGCTAAATTAATTAAATGATTTTAATATAAAAAATATTCTAAAAATAGAAAAAAATAAATATTATAAAAAAGAGTAAAAGTAGCGATTTAATAATATATATCCGTTGACTTTAGCTTTTAAATTAGATTTAGCAATTAATAAAAAAAAAAATTTTTAATAATTTTAACTTTTTTTTTCTAATTAATTTAATAAATAAATAAAAGTTTTATTTATTTTTATTACTATTGCTAACAAAAGCGCTAAAGCTTCCCTATATAATTAAATAGTAAATATTCTTCTAATTCCTATATATTTTCTTTTTTTAAATAGTTTTTTTATTTAATAAAATACTAATTATATTGTTTTTTTAGTATTTTTTTAATTTTAAAAATATTATCTTCTTCGGGTTTATATTTAAATAATATTAGAATTAGTTTAATACTTTTTACTTTTTTAAAAAATAATATATAAAATATTAAATATATTTTTATATTATTTAATAGTTTTAATTTATAGTTAATAAGTTTTTTCTATTTTTATATTTTAAATAAGCTAACTTATAAGTAATTTAGTTTCTTATTTAGTTATTTTATTTTAAGATTTTTTATATAAAGCTATATTTTATCTCCTTTTTTAATTAAAATCTATTTATTTTATATTTGTTTTTTTGTTTTTCTATTTTAATTTATATTTTTTTTAAAAAGTTTATAATATTTTTATATATTTATTTAAATTCTAATATATATTTAATAACTTTTTATAATTTTAGTAATTCTTTTAATATATTATTTATATTTAGATTTCTTTTATAGTTTATATAGAATAATATTATTTTTATAGTATTTAATATTAAATTATTAAGTATTAACTTTATTATAAGTAAATGCTTTATCTAAATTTTTTTTTATTTAACTATTTATTTCTAAGTAATATACTATAAAAAGCTTTAACTTTATTCTAGTTTTTATTATAATTATTTTCTAAAATAAAAATATAAATAATTTATTTTTATTTAAAATTATTTTTTTTAAATTATTTTTAATTCTAATTACTTTATCTAAGGATATATATATTAGTTATACTATATTATATATTTTATTAAATAATATTATTATAATATATTTTATATATTTATTAACTATAATTATTATAATATTATA